GGAAAAACGTTTTCATCACATGATAAATATAGTGAAATTCCACTGTCTATAATATCTTGTGTTTTTAATCTGGTACTTATTAAATTTTTGTTTTCGTTACTATTTAGTCCATGCAAATATTTAGAGATTGTTTCTAATATGTCCATTACTTCAGCTTCAGTTTTTGATTTAAATACTGACGAAAAAAAAAATATTAAACTTATATATATTCAAATATTCTTCATTGAAGCGGTATACCAAATCCTGTAATATATTATCTAGCAAAGGGACACATAAGTTCAGTCTGTAATGATTTTCCTTGTCAGACGTAACTATGTTCGGTCTGTTCATTTGCCTGCTTGTTATTCTTGGCACACCACCCGGCGGATCTCGTAGACGGAGCCAGAATGTGTGCATGTTGCATGCACACGTGTTCCCCCGCCAGAGTCCGTGTGGCGTCCCCCCTTTCCCCTACGATAAATTGGGTGGAAGTAATGGCAGTCTTCAAAGACTCCGCTTTTAAAGAAGCTTCGCGGTCTTTCCAATTTGATATAATATTTAGTACCTCTACAATTTTCTCGAATTTGCGTTCAAATTGGAGCACAGAATCATGTATCTCGGTCCATCGTATTTCGCACATACTATGAATTTGATATCCGTCTAGTTTTCTTTTTAATACTGTATTTCTTTTAGAGGATGCTTTGAAGAACGCAATTACTTCCTTCATTATACCTACAGTATTTGTTACTGCCTGGACACTGCTGCTTTTTGAAATTAAGAGATTCAAGCCATGATTTGCGCATGGGCTTTTTAGAGCATTGGGCAAACATTTTTGCAATTCCATTACAGCGCCCTTTTGTTCACCTAACATTAGGTTACACGTATCAGTATCAATGCTCACACATAGTTTTGAGTCTAAGTTATTGGTTTTAATGAAATGATTGACTGTTTGAGCAAGAATTTGACCTGTGAGTTTGGGTTCCATTGTATCTTCATCAAAATTTGAGTAGCAACATCCTCGTCATTCGTGCTGTCATTAGAAAAAAATCGTCCCCTACCTCTATGCCCTCTAAGTGATATATTTTGGCTTCCTAAAAAAGTTATAGATTCTATTATAGGAGTCAATTTTTTGTCGATTTTCTGATACAGTAATACCCCGGACTTACGCGATAGGTGGGTCCGAACGGTTGCCGTGTAAGTCGAATTCGCGTAAGTCGGGGTTCAATGTTGCATATAAATACATATAAAGTTTGTTTAATCGGGACCAGAGTTTAAAGAAAACAATAATTTAGAAGAAAAATGTTTAATAAAGTGTAGGATAATAAAAAAAATTACATTGTTATGAATAAAGTAAGCTAAACCGAAGTTATTTTGATGTCGAAGGCTTTATATATTCTAACAATGTTGCCTGACGAGTTAAATTTTTCTTCTTTTCACGTAAAATTTCCTCGTAGCATACCAGTAATTTTTTTATCCCTCGTTTTGTAGTAGACACGCGTTCTTCATTAGAATCAATTTTTTCTAAAATTTGTAACCCCTTTTCAATTGAATTGAGTCCTTCTGTTAAGTTTGCAATTGTCATTTGATTTACCGATTCAACTGGGTCTAGCGAATCAGTTTGTTCAATGTCTTGCTCATACTTACGCATTTCTATAACCTCGTCAATTGTTAGCTCTTGATTGTGTGAATCTAGCAATTCTTGAACGTCATCATTATCGACCTCTAAATTTAATTGCTTGGCGATATCGACCACTTCTTCTATTATGCTATCGATTTGTTCAGGATCTGAAATGGTTTCTCCTTGAGTTTCAGAGGTGAAAAAAAATGGACACAGTTTTTTCCAGACACCATTGAGAGTTTTTTGTGAAACCTCATTCCAAGATTGTCCAATAATTCTTACAGCATCTAAAACATTGAATTGCTTCCAAAAGTCTTTAACAGAAAGCTCATTGTTTTGTCTCATAGCTTCATGTAGATGTGCAAATGACCGCCTTGTGTAGTAAGCTTTAAATGTTTTAATGACTCCCTGGTCCATTGGTTGAAGCAAGCTGGTAGTGTTTGGTGGCAAAAATACAACTTCCACACGTGGATCGAAATTAATTAGAGTTGCGGGAGGATGACCTGGTGCATTGTCAATTAGTAGCATCACTTTAAATGGGATTTCTTTTAATCGGCAGTAACGTTCGACTTCAGGAATAAAATGATGGCCAAACCAGTCTTCAAAAAGAGAAGCTGTCACCCAAGCTTTCGCATTAGACTTCCAAATGACAGGCAAACCAGCTTTGGATTTATTTTTTAAGGCCCTTGGATTTTCTGAGCGATAAACTAAGAGAGGTTTTAATTTACAATCTCCAGCTGCATTCGCACCAACCATCACTGTTAATCGATCCTTGGCGGCTTTAAAACCTGGAAAAGTTTTCTCTTCACGCGCAATAAAAGTTCTTTTAGGCATTTTCTTCCAAAAAAGACCTGTTTCATCTACGTTGAAAATAGTTTGGCTAGTGTAGCCACCTTCATCTATCATTGTTTTGAGTTTTTCTGGATAGAGAGATGCAGCTTCTTTATCAGCGCTTGCCGCTTCTCCACTCTCTGCGATGCTATGCCAATTACAACGACTCTTAAATCGGCTGAACCAGCCGTTACTAGCTTTAAACACTTCATTTTCAGCCGCCTCCCCAGCTTCTTCTTTTAGTTTTTCAAAAATCTGCTTTGCTTGAAAGCACACTGTATTTTGATCAACAGGACAATTTTTCACTCTTACTTGATTATCACACCATGACTGTAGCAATGTTTCCATCTGTGCGATAATACCGTGACGCTTACGGATGATACTTGAATTCAAAGATTGAGAGTCTTTCACAGCGTTCATAATTTTTTCTTTACCTTTTACAACCGTTCGGACTGTTGATTCCGGAAGGTCAAATTTCTTCGCCAATTCACAAATTTTCATTTTTGCTTCAAAGTCTTTAATTATATTCAGTTTACACTCCAAAGACAGTGTTTTTCTTTTCTTGTTAGGCTCAAATGACTCATTTTTTGTTCTTTTAGACGACATAATTAGAGATTATAAGTAAAACGCACTGCGCACGTAAAACAATTGCACGCGAAACACGTTTAAACCTGATGCAAATTGAACACTGAGTGGGCGGAGCGAGAGAGCCGATGCGCGCGCGGAGCGAGAGAGCCGATGCGCGCGCGGAGCGAGAGAGCCGATGCGCGCGCGGAGCGAGAGAGCCGATGCGCGCTGCGCGCGGCAATCAAAATGAAAAACCGCGTATCTCCGAATTCGCGTAAAACGGGGTAGCGTAAGTCGGGGTATTACTGTACTTGCTTAATTCGCTCTGAACCTATTATATTTCTTATATCATTCTCTGGATTTTCGTAAATTTTCTAAAAGTTTATAGCATCTGGAACTGCTTCTGTATGATATATTGAGTTATCATGTGTCCCACAATCACCGGTTTTGCCATACAATTTCGAAAATTTCTTTAGTGGTACGGTAACAAGTTTTCCCAATTTAGTTGATTTATCCTAATTTTGCAAAAACCACGCAATATCTATAGAAAAGCCCTTGTAGTTCCTCTGAATATGACAGCCAAGGAAATTTCTCAAAGTGTTTTTTTGATAAGTAACATTTCACTTCTTTATTATTTTTCAAGTGTGTGGAATAGGGATATTTGAAAGAGTCATTAGAGATCATTGCACACCTCGATAAGGTATATTTTCCATGGGAAGACAAGTTGCCGCTGAAATTTACATATGGCTCAACATCAACAAATTTGGATCCTTTGGGTTTCGCACCCGATTGTTCAACACTTGGTTCAACATACGGTGTAAAATCAAAAAAGGCTCAGGTTGAATTGTAGGATTATCATCAGTTTTTTCCTGTAATTCTTGTGCCGGTGGATCAGACAGTTTGTTTTGTTTAGAAAGGAATCAATCGATGGTATTCTGTTTCCTTTTACTCATCCTGACAACAACAGCCGTCAACCAGCACTAAAAGTTATACAAATATTGTCAAATACACGGCATTATTGGTTTCCACGCATTCACGTATCACATAACAAAGAACCTTTTCTGTTTGGAAAACAAGATATCTGAACTTCACGCAATTTTCAAAAACTAAATATATTCTTTGCCATCTTGGACGAACGAAATGCACTGAAGTGCTTATATACAGGGACTTCCGAGATAAAATAGACATAGATGATAATGATAGGTGGAGTATGGACCAAGCACTTCGTAATTGAAATTATATTAAATTTCTATTTTTCCGTCTGTCATTTTTTTAGACACGATTCTTTTATAGTATATATATATAATTAAAAACAAACAAACATTAATTTTCTGGCTTATGCGTGGAAAATAAAAAATCAATAGAACATAAAAAATAGCGCTAATACCAACCAGATCAACAAAACTCCGCTTGTTCACTTCTCAGCCAAATTTTGTTGCGGACTCCGGACTGGTACAGAATCTAGACACTAGACTAGACCATAAAAGACTGTTCCAACAGGAAGATGTGCACACCGTTGCTGTTGGCGGGAGAGTTGTCGCTAGTCGCATGCGCACTGAGCGTGTTGGCAGTGTTGCCACTATCCTTTCTTAAAGTTACAGATTTTTTTATAAGCGTTTACTTTATACCACCTTTTCAAAGACTGCTCGAGTCGTCTGGGGCGCTAAATTCAAATAATAATAATATTACGTTCTTATTGATACACCCTTTAGGTACCTACTAATAATGTACGGGTATTTCTTAATGGCATAATTTTTTGATCATCTCGTGAACCGTGACCGTTCCGTTACTAGAGATAATCTTGTACTGCATATCCTTTCATAAAAACTTGGATTTTGGATATTTGAACTGCAGATGCAGCAGCTTTGCACATCTAATATAAACGGTCACTGTTCAGGAGATAATCAATCACCTCTATTTCGTTGGAAAAATATCCTTTGAATATGCTAACACAAAATTCCTGTATATTAATAGTGCATGTTAAGATAAAGCATTTTGTTTTCAGGGCCCAATCGTACCATGTACAACTACCGACTGATTTCACGTGCGACAATTGCACACTAAGACTGCTCAGGCAGGCCATGGAATGGGGGCCCAATTACAAATTCTGGTCATGTGCCGACGTAGATATTAAGCCAAGTAAGTATCGCATTAAACGAGTTGACATTGTTACTGCAAATTTGAGGTCAATCTTGCCATGGGCAACATTTCGAAGGGAAAAATATCGGCATTGACAAAAAATTCCATTTGAGAAAGTGGAACTCACGAAACATCATAGAATATGTATCCATGTGTTGAAATAATTGTAAAAGTATCTGGTGAATTTTTTAAATCACATTAATCTGTTGTATGATTATAAAATGGCTGATTTTCGATAGGTACTTACTTTTTTCCAAAACCAGCTTTCATCAAGCTACAAGAATTCTTATTTGGAAAAGTTTATAAATCAATTCAAAGCAAATATTTCCAAGTTACCTCAACTAATGAATATTTATAATTAAATAATTTTTAGAAATTTGCTTCAAAAATACTGGACGAAAACTTCTTCTAGACATCTAGACCGATCTTGATTCCTTCACAACCGTTATTGCGTTAGTGATTTACGTATCTAGAGTGTTAAGCGGGCAGTTATGAATGCCAAAGATACGCTCAAAGATATATTCTGCATTTTCGTCGCATGCCTTATTATGGCGACGCTTAAGATCGTACGAATACTCCTGTAAGCATTTTATCAACTTCCGAAATGGAATATTAGCAAAAACTGCTGTTAGGATTAATAAATGTTATACTTTTAAATGTTCGAGATTGGTTAAACTCATAGCTCTGCCAAAAATGGACCATTTTGCAAGTAAAGTAATGTTATTATTCTAAAAATGCATAATCACGAAATATGTTTGCTTTGCGACGTACAACTTGAAGGCCATTTTTAAATATGTCAGCCAAACAACCACGATTTAGATCATGTGACCTGATTTTTTATATACTCCTATAGGTGCCTAATAATGTCCTGCATTCAAACTAAGAAGACATACAAAAGCACACGTGACCTTAGCGGCTGCTTCAAAACTATAAGCTATATTCAAAAAATCCAGGAAACAACCGTTCGAAATGTCCCATGTTTAATATGAATTCTGAAATATGAGTCATTGCTTTGAGAATAAAAATAACTTAATTTTTTCAGGACGAAAATTCAGGGAAATATGCAGTGGACATGGAAGGAACTTCGTAGGAAAATGTAAATGTGACAGGTTATACTATGGAGAAGTATGCCAATTCAGGAATGAATGCTTCGAAGACAGCGACTGTGGAGACCATGGAAAATGCATCGACATAGGAGCTACTACCGCTCCCAGACAACAGTGCTACTGTCAACTGGGATGGTTCGGACCTGGTTGCAACAAAAGTAAGTACTTTTGAAGTAAAAATATTTGCTAGATATATTCATTAGATAAAACCATATCCCCAGTTATCCTAGGATGCGTTATTATGTCAGCCTTTTCGAAAATACAGAAGCATAGTAAACCATCATACCTTGTGTAAGGTATTTCAGAAAGAGGTCTTAACAAGTCTAATAGTCACCTTGTATTTGTCTCACGTTCAAGGATATTTCAAAGTCAAATTTTGTTTTTTAAATGGAAAGCCCCATCTTTGATTTTGGAATTCCGAGTATGTCCTAAAATCTAAGATCAAGGTCACCTCTGAAAGTCAAACGTGAGAGGCTAGGGAAAGCTCCTACAAGTTTAGTAAGAATATTGATGAATAAATGAAGGTCACTAACTCTTGAAAAGGATTTTAAATTATTGGATTTGACCTCCAAGGTCATAACAGTGCATAAGAACGTATTAAAATGTGGGATTTTTCCTTGTCAGTGTCAGGTTCAAAAAATGTTGACCTTGAAATAATAATGAAGTTTGAATTGGAAATGGAATCTTAGTTAAAAATTGCTATAAGTCTGACCCTGATTCTATTCATCAATAAACATACTAAGCTTCCAATAATTTTCAGTGACACACATTTGATCTTTAGATGTGACCTGGATCTTAGATTTTAATACACATTCGGAGGTAGAATTTTCCGTTTTTCCGATTACCGGTGTCAAAGGGGGCTTTCTGTTTAAAAAACAAAGGGTGGCCTTGACCTTGACATAAGCTTGAAGTTGAGGCTTAATCTCAAACCCAAGGTCTCCAGGTCTCCATTGAGCTTCTTCTGTGGATGGGGGGAACTTTGCCGTTAGAGTATGATGTAAAAGATAAATTTATAAATATATAATATATATAAATAAACGAAAAAGAAACAAAGACAGTCAAGGTTAGTACCTGATCTTGTGCCTTTCCATCACTTTTGCTACTCCCGCTATAAATTTGTAATTTTCTATTAGGCTTCTCTGGGACAAACTCTCACCTAGGATTTCTCAAAACTTTTTGTTTAGGCACCAGACTAATTTCTTGTGGGTGCAAAATAACCAGGAAGGACGAACTCATCTTACTGGTCATATTTCTTTCAAAAAACCACTCTTCTTTTTGCTCGGATATTTTGGAAATGCTCTAACATTGGCTCTGAAAATACTTTAGTAGAGCGAAAGTAGTAGGATAACAGAGGCCTCAATACATTATACGTAAACTTAAACGTCACGCCTTACTGATAGGAGGTCAGGTACCTCTAAACAAAATGTACTAGTATAATGGTGTAATATGATTGTATTTCTCTTTCAGAATCCCCCGTAAAATCGACTGAAATCGACTTCGAACTCTACACCGAAAGAAAATTGAGCGATACATTCCGACTGTACTGGAGGATATTGAAAGAACATAAAGAAATCGAAGCTATTATGGTTGTCAATGGCACGAGCTGGGCAGGGTTGGGATGGAGACCGAAATCACTCACCAAGAGCTGCAAGAATTTCCCGCAGATCGGTCCCAAAACTGACAGAACTTCACCTGGTAAAGTAACATTTATAAATCTACCGACTCATTATAGGAAAAAGGAAAACATTTCGATCAAATACTAACAGCAATACTCAACCTGTTTGATAGATAGTTTTTCGTGAACGTGCAGATTCAATCTAAACAAAAACACGAAAATTTATATCTTACAGAAAACAACAATGAAAATTAGTTCATTTGAACTGACACAAGGCCGCACACAATGGACTTTCTATAACATCTGGCTTTTAATCTATTTAAAAGTAAAACAATAAATATCCAGTATCACATAAAATACTAGGTGCGCCATCAGAACATCAGAACGTAATTTCCACCTAGCGAAAATACAAGTGATTTCGCAATGCTTCAGAATTGTATTCTGTTCCGTTTTTTTAACTCCAAGTCAAATGAATACAGAAACGTGTTTTGACTACTATCCATCGCATTGGCTAAAATTGTAGCTATCATCCTGTCTTAAAGAAAGAGGCGCGGAGAAGCCCGAATCTGGACCGGACATCTTGGTAGCCAGCTGATGTCGCCGTTTTCCAAAATAACATAGTCCTGAGAAAGTGAATCTTAAAAAGTGTATTGCTTAATACACAATATAACACAATGTGGCGGAGCTGTCCGTTTACTCGAAAGAGCGCAAAGTCTGTGCTAATTGAACCCCAACATTATAATTCGACGAAGGATAGGCAAAACAATGGTCATTCCTTAAAAGGCAACAGAGTCGAATTTTAAATAACAGTATTATTCGTTTCCTAGGCATTGCAAAACAACCGAATCTATAAAAAACAATACAAATTTCATGGGATTTTGTGTTGCAAGAACTCTTCCCTTGCTCCTTGGGTTTAATTTTCCCTATATGATCCTCTTGTTCTCCACCAGCTTCTGCAAAAGCAGAACCGGAACCCAGCAGTGAGCCAGAGCCCAAAAGCGAACCAGAACCTGAGCCAAAATCTGAACCTGAGCCCACCGCCGAACCAGAGCCTGTTTCGGAACCAGAACCCACAACTGCAGAGCCCATCGCTACAACTACCACCAAGTATAGAAAGTCACTGTATGCGAGGAGATCTGCCCTACCAACACCACTGATCAGGACTGCTGCTCCAGCTGACGCAGAGGTCGTGGAAACCAGTGTTTCGTTCAAAGTTACATCCAAGCAAGGTTAGAATCAAACTGGATCATTTTCAATTTTTCCACCTGGTCACCGTGCCTCTCTCTAGGGGGACTTGACAAAGAAGAATGATCTATCAAAAAGTATACCCAACATAAAATATCTCGAACACAGCTCCTAAAATATCCCATTTCCAAGATCTAACTGCACTACTGACAACGTTTACAAATAATGGAACATTAATACTCCTCAAATATAGTTGAGAGCGATACAGAGAGAGGATGCATTAATTCCATTTTAAATACATTGGAAAAAAGAATCAGTCAATTATATATATTGGCAGTTCTGTATATGTACAAAAAATAAATCGGCACCTCAAACCGTTTCGGATGGATACTTGTGTAAGCAAAACCTCAACGCCCCATTACCTGTATAAGCCTATATTTCGTAATTGTAACTTACTGGTATTCTGTTTCAGGTCGCCGAAAGAGAGAAATATCAGGTAAGCATTAATAAAAATCTGATCACATTAGAAAAGCTGAATAGTACTGCACATTTAATATAGCCCAAAATTGTACAAATCTATGCATATGCACTTAGTTGCCTGGCTAAAGGAACTACTCTAGACATCTAATTGGCAATATTTTAGTGGATATTAAATGTAGGGTACCATTAACAACCTTACAGGTTACTTGACAGAGCCTTAGTTAACGGTTATGGGTATTTTAATCTATTGTAGAACCCACAGCAGAGCCAGCTAGTGAAGAACACGAAGCCACGCCAGAGCCAACTGCAGAGCCAGAACCCAAATCAGAACCCGAACCTGAACCTACTTCTAATCCTGAACATACTCCTGAACCTAAATCAGAGCCTGAACCTACCGCTGTCCCAGAACCTGAACCAAAGTCTGAACCAGAACCTACCGCTGAACCCGAACCAAAATCTGAACCAGAACCCACTGCTGAACCGGAACCCAAATCAGAACCTGAGCCAAAATCCGAACCCGAACCAAAATCCCAACACGAACCAAAATCCGAACCTGAACCGAAATCAGAACCTGAGCCTGAACCCCAGGCTGATCAGCCAAGATCCGAGCCTGAACCCAAATCCGAACCTGAACCCAAATCTGAACCTGAACCAAAATCCGAACCCGAACCTAGTTCTAATGCACCAAATAAGGTACACGTTGCACCAAGTGGAAGTAGTTCAGGTATAGTAAATGCACGGACCTTATATGTAAGATGATTAACATTAAATTTAAGGCAAGCATCTCATTAAAGCTTTATGCTAATTGGGAACAAAATGCGTAATTATGGCAGCAATACGTGTTTTGGGTGCTTCATTTCACCTACAGTATGACGACAATTTTTTAAGATAGAGGCAAGAAAACCTTTTTCACAGCATTGAGGAATACTTAACATCAGACTTGTGAATTGTATTATTGCAAACAATTAATTTTTAATCTGTTTTCCATCTGTTCGTCCCTCTATTTTTGTTTTATTTGTTATTTAATCACATCTTTTTAATTTGTTGTTTATGTTGTTATTTTGAGTACATTATGTTTGTATTATTTAATTTACTTAGTGTCGACTCGATCACAACTTTTTAGGTATTTTCTTTTCTCGTTCATCATTGACAATTTGCTGATACTTTTTCAAGTCAAATGGTAATAAAGATATTTATTTATTTATTATGGTTATGAAAATACATGGCGAACAGGCAGTATTAACATTTTATTAGCAAAAGATTCAATGTGCAATGTTGTTTCCAAAATATTGGATATAGATTTGAGAAGTGATTAGTTGGCCTATATGATATCATATACTCTGGCAAAACAATTTTTACTTGTAGATTCTCTTACTTAAAAGTCTCCCATCATGTCCATGCAATAGTAGTATTTGTTGTGAAAAGCTCGACAATGAAACACACAAGACGACTCGTCCGACGATGCATGTGCTTTCCTACTATTTATTACAAAAAATAGCACACTAAGCACCTGTCTAGTTAAATGTTCCAAATTTTATTCTCAGATACTCGTTCGTGAATAGTTTGAACAAGAATACCTACAAATCTATCTCAAAGTTGCAACGTCTGAGAAAGTATAACATTTTTATAAATCAGTTATTTTGCAACGTTTGAAAAATGAGTTTAGCATCTTGAATAGCTATTCAGCATCTTGCTTTAGAGCTACTGCAATAGCCAAAATATATTTTTGTGTAAAATTTAAAATCGCATTGTGGTTGCGTCATCGCATGTAACTAATAGCTTTCATTACCCAGAGCGCATCAAACCTAGATGCGATCATTGTAGTCAATGTCTCAAGTACTCCCATAGTTTCCAAATTTTTAAATCAGGGGATATACAGGAAAAACCATCTTTGATATACATCTCGGGCGAAACTCTTTCAAGTTTGCACTTTTTCATATATTACATACTGACTGGTACCCGCGACTTTGTACGCTTAAAAACGTTAATATTTCTAAAGTTTTCAAATAAATGCCACAGATTAAACATAAGTTTGTATTGTAAAAAATACCTCTCCACCTAGTGTCTAATAAGAAATGGCAAATATATATAAAATTGTTATAACCCACAACTCCCTTTTCACCCATGTCTCAAAATCCATTCTCAGTTTTGTTAGAGTGTTGACAACTTTAGGTATCTATCTATCTAGGTTTTTCAAACAAACTCGCGAGTTATGTAGCCCTGTTGCAAAATCTGTCCTTAACTGACATCTACTGTCTATAAGCTACCTCCCTGCCAAATTATCTCCAATAGAAAAACAAAGGACTTTCGTATAATATTGTAAATGCCTCTATCCCCGTTTAACCCGGCCCTGTTGCAAAATCCATTCTTAGCTACATGTCCTGTCCATAAGATACATTTCTGCCAAATTTCGTATTCATAGGTAAACTAGTTTTCGAGATACATTTCTATAAACTCAGTGATAAGATTTCTCATATTCAGTATTCAACCCCCTCCTACCCATCTTAAGGATATAATTTCTGGACTTCTTTATTAATATTTTTTATTTTATACAAAATATAATTAACCTCCATTTTACCACTTAGGGATAAAGTTTCCGAAATTTCTTTATATTTTCATTAAACAACCAAATATGTAAAACTGATATTTGTATATCTTACTTAAAGAATCATAGTTTCCCCCTCTGTAACTTTCATCCTTTATTTCAACCCTTCAATTTTTATTTTCACAACAAAAGGTAGCCTATGTCCGTCTCCGAGGACTAATCTATATCTACGCTAAAATGTTTACGTTATGTGGGGTTTTTATGACATTATATAGCTTTTCCCTACAATAAGGAAAGTGTACATACTGTTCACAATTCTTAATTCGCTGGAAGTACCTTTCTTGTGCATATTTTGGGAATTTCTTCTAGTTTTCTAGTGTACAATGACTGCATTGTCGTCAGGCTTTGGGGGCGACTGAGCACTTCTGCGCCAGACACCTCATACGTCATTCCATTAAGCAGTGAAGTAGATATTTCAAAGTCTGAGTTCAGCCATTTTGGCATGCTTGAATAACAAACATCGACACTTTCTCATTTATAATATCAGTAGGAAAGTTAGAATGTCTTGTACTCATACATCTCATTTAGCAAAAAAAAGCAAGCTTTGGTTAAACCATTTCGTTGAAGTACTTTCCTGAAATTAGCTGTCCGGTATCCTTCCGATAAACATTCAACCCACATGCTTGACTAGACATCATTGCATAAACCATGCATGCTTCAGATTCCATCAACAGTTAAAAAAGGTGATATCACATTATGATAATAATTTCATAGGTAAAGGAACAGTTGAGGAGCACATGGATCCATATACACCACGACATGATTTCAATCCGATGGACTGCACTGATATTATCATAGGATCTGCCAGAGGTACTGCTAGCAGAATAGCTGATTACTACACCAGAGACAGGTTAGAATCGATATATATACTCGTGCTATCAGTTTTCTGAAAATTGACTAGATGAACATATTATCTCGAAGATAGTTGTTAAATTTATTTATGTGGATATGCAAGCAACCAGTGGGTAAAAGAAGTCAACCCCATTTTTTTAATTTCATTGTATTTGTTACTGCACTTTGAGCAAATTAAAAATAATATAAGAATAATACGAATTATGAAATTAAGGCCATAATTGATAGAAATGGTATGATAACAAAGTACTAGCTGTAAATAAATTTTAACATTTATTCATTTGTTTGTTGTTTCAGAGTGCCAATATTTTTTTTATCCCTTGAATTTCACAATTCCTATTGTTACTCTTGTATCATTTTTAATTTGCTCAATCTATTGCCATCAATTACTATTTGGATGTTAATTTTCAGATAAATTTAGTATCCAAAAATGCATCTTTTCGTTATTGAGATTGAAAAAAAAATATGTGTGTCAATACTTTCTTGAATGTAGATCTTTAGTATCCCAAATGCAGAAGCATTATGCTCTAAATACTGGAATCAAGCTTTCAGTCTGTATTCACCTACAGTGACCATGCCCATTAAATATGTTGGCTAGATTCTAGAATGGACCCACTTGGCTTTAGAAATATCCGAAATTTAAATATAGGAACCCGCAAAAACCTCAAAATGACAAAGGACCTTATTTGTGTCAGCATTTTTTAAATTCCGTTATAAGAGGGTCAATTCCAACTTATACTTGGCCTCATTTCATTTGCCAATTATACAACTTGAATGAAGGCCATCAAAAAAACTGTTATTCATACATGTAATGAACTTTTCAGGTCAACACCTCGAATGGACAACTACTGGGGAGGCAAGAATGACATCACAGCTGCGATGGGCTTCGAAAAAGATGGCGTCACTACAATACTGTTCAGGAAAAAACTAGAGGCTAAGGAACCATCAGATCATACGATCGAAGAAGACTTCATGCATGTGATCTTCGCTCAAGGGCAAGAACTAGGAAAATACGTCCACGTGCCTAAATCAGGTGTTGAAGGTGGCCAGGCTTCAGTGAAAGATTTCTACAAACCAGATGAACTGAAATATCATGGACACAAACAGCAAAGAGGAGTCGTCAGTCTGAATTTCTTTGGTAAGTAGAGGAGTATACAGGGGGTTCCTTAATAAATATGCGAAAATTTAAGGGTGTGAATCTACAGGAAAAATTAATGCTAGTTTGCTTTATAAACAATGGCGTGTGTACGGGTAATGACTTCAATATTTTTTAAGAAAAAAATGGTACGGTAATGGTTTTATGCAAAATAAAAATTATTTTTGAATTCCCCGTTCAATTTAAAACAAATGCTCTCTCTTGAATTGTTTTCCTTCGATGCGCCATTTTTGAGTAAAAAAATAAAAACCATGTCTTAAGATAGCCCCACAAAAAGAAATCTAAACTTTTGAGTTCTGGGGACCTTGGTGGCCATTCTTGGGGCCTACCGCGGCCAATCCAACGATTTGGATAAACAGTTTGTAAATAATTACGAACCGCTACACTGAAATCCGCTGGTGCACCATCATGCATGCACCATATACTGTTTCTTATTACTAACGGATCATCATCAAACAGCAAAGGCAACTGTTGTTGAAGAAAATTGAGGTAAGTCTGTCCGTCAAGTCGTCCTAGCAAGAAGAATGGGCCAATAAAGTGGTTGCCAATAATGCCTGCCCATACGTTAACCGAAAATTGGTGTTGGAAATGGGTTTCGGTTACGGCATAGGGATTTTCTTCTGCCCACAAATGATTATTGTGGAAATTCTGAATGGCATTTCGAGAAAAATTAGCTTCGTTCGTGAACAGAATCATTGATTCAAATTGCGGATTTTGTGTAATTTTTTGAAGATACCACTGACAAAAGGTCACACGCCTTGGAAAATCAATGGGAAGTAATGCCTGTACTCTTAAAATATGGTAAGTATATCACAAAAAATCCACTAAAATTCTCCAAACAATTTGATGGCAAATATTTAAGTGTCTAGCGATCTTCCTCGTGCTCGTTTCAGGATGTTCTTCGACTTCGTGTAGCACTGCTTCCTCAATTTCAGGTGTTCTCACACTTAGAGGTCTACCTTCAGATGTTCCTTTTCGGACAGAACCAGTTTCAACAAGACGACGATGGATATTAGAAAAGGTTCGACTATCTGGCAAAGCACAATCGGGATATCTCTGGTGATAAATCCGTCTGGCTTGCTTACCATTACCGTCGACAAGGCCATATACTATACGTAATGCATTTCCGCCATTTCTGCATTTGAATAATTCACCATTATTAACAAGATTGTAAAAACTAAATAATGAAGGATGTCACAGCGAACAGATTTGAATAAGAGAGACTTGTCAGATGTCAAAAGCCAGTGACATATTCCAGAGCAACTAGTTATTTATTGCTGAATTGCATTCAATTATTACATTAATTTTCTCGGACAATAGAACGGTTTTTATTTTTTTGCTCAACAATGGCGCATCGAGAGATCGATTGTTTTAAATTGAACGAGGAATTCAAAAATAATTTTTATTTGGCAAAAAACCGTTGGAGTACCATTTTATTCTTAAAAAATGTCGAAGTCAATGCCCGTACGCACGCCACTGTTAAAGCTAAAAATTATTTTTGCATTGAAAAATATGCAACTTTATTAACTTTCACTACGTACTAAATATCTGTGAAATATCTGAAGCGGTTCTGAAAATATTAATTAATTTCCATTTTTTTTTTCATAAAACTTCATTTTTGGACCATAGTTTATAAACCAAACTATCATTAATTTTTCATGTAGATTCACACGCTTAAATATTCGCATATCATTAAGGAACACCCTGTATATTTTTTACCTCGAAGCAGCCTCGCAGACAGAAGCCTAAATGCCAGGGCACCAGGATCCAAACGAAACCTTGTTAATTCGATTTTTGACTTGCCTAACGAGCCTCACCCGTAGGAGAATCATTGTACCCTTTTACCTGCCACAGTTCTTAAATGCCCAGATTTATTCAAACTTTTTACAATATCATTTACCAAATTTATTGGAAGATATACCACTAAGCATTTACAGAGACATATAGTACGACGGCTGCCCGGTACAGTTAGAGAATACTCGTATCTTTATACGGAATACGCGAGCAGATGCTCAGGGCGGTCTGGTACAATTTCGTTGCTAAATCCACTCGATTTTCTTTACTAGTGAGCGGTGAAATAAAAATTTTCTGAATTTGTTAGAAACGTTAAGATTCAACCACCTGATAACCCGCACGGCTGTCACGTATCTTGAAAAGTGACATTATGCCGATTTTTTTTGACATTATGCTGTTTTTTTTTCGATAGTATGTAGGTTTTTTACTGAAGGTCTAAACTGTAAGTTATATGTGTTGATAATTGCATTGGGTTCTTGTCTCAAAAACACTTAATTGAGATTCAAAGCTAGAAATTAGTTGCGCATCCACTTTTTCTTATCCATTCTGGAAATTAGGTATACAAATTTGCTGAATTTCAAAAATGAGAGATAAGAAATAATTATATTCACTGCACACTGTCGAATTACCAAGCCATATACATGCTAGCAGTAATTACTCATAATGCGGGCGCGGTGATGATTTCCCGTAATTCTCCTCAGTTTTTCGTAATTTATAACTTTGAACATAACCTCTCTTCAGAAAGCACAACATAAAAATAACCCGTGGGGCACAGCCAATAGATATACTTCATTGGCAGCAGCATATTCAGTAATGATTTTCTCACACAGCAAATATCACTGATTTTATACACATGCAGACCAATACACATAATCATCCAGATGCGCTCTTGCTATTCAACCAACTTTCTTCTCAGAGATGAAAACTACAGACAAGGACCACTCGGTCTCACAAAACATATGCAACCAATAATGCGTGCAGTTTAGTTGAGTGATTTCTCCATAGATGGACGTTCACAACGATCTTAGTGAGCAAACGTGGAATGACTGTCTGCGCCCTAGTTTGCAAGATGACATCTTATAGGTTTTTTTTTGACGTTTTATAGGTTTTTTACATGATACCCGTGCGATCATTTTAAGATGTCAAGCTTGCAACGCTGCTGAAGGAAGGCAGTTTGAATATTTATTGTGAATTTAATAAATATGTTCACGAATTAATAAAAATCTTGCTGTCACTAGTTAGAATAACACATCACTCCGTCTAAGAAAAAATTGAAATTGATAGTAATCCTATAATTTAAAAAGTGCATTACTTAGATTTTTTATATTTTTTTGATATCTATTATGACTTGGCCTATCCCCCGTTTCCGACTTGAAGTCGATTTCTGGGACACCGTGTATCAAATATCTAAGCCCGGTCGTTGAAAAATGGTGGCAAATTTAAATTCCAACGTATCCGAACACCCTTTATAGTCAAAATATTTTTTTGCAGAAGAAAAAAGGATGGTAGAGCCCGCCGGTGCAGCCGCAAACAGTCCAAATTCCGAAAACTCAGACTGCGGAGGCATCTGGAAGATACCGAAAAACTGCAACCCAGACAACTACACCTGCGAGTACTCAGCCAAATGGGAACTGATACCTAGAAAGGACACTATCAAGTTCACCATCACAACCAAACATACGGATACCTGGACTGGTATCGGATTCTCGAACAATGAGAGGATGTCACAGACAGACGCAATCTTGGGATGGGTAAGTGACGAGCAAAGTTATATGTACGAGGGTGGCCTGCAAAGTTTCCGACCTAACAAAGATGCGACACTCATTCTGAAATTTTTGTTTTATTTTCCAACATAGTCCACACACTTCTCCCAGCGATGGGTGATTCAAATTGAGTTTTCACATTCAACTCATTCGAACGGCAGTTACATAACCACTACGCGTCCAAAATGGCAGAAACTTTGGTGATTAACTGTCAACAGATGAACAACGAAATTAACTAGATTTTATTTACGAGGGCTGCCAACTTCACGTTGAGGTCGGAAACTACTCAGAGCACCCTCGTATGTCTCGCGTGCGTCCTTCTAGTGTATGCTAGAGACCGGTACACTCGGCCCAGATCACATTATTTATAATAATTATGCTTTAAAATAATGAAGCCCAAAGTACTCTTAGGGGCTTCTGCTAGAAGGTCAGAACTTACTTTATAATATTTGTACGATTATTAACCGAGTTCTTAAACATAAAAAATTTGAATCTCACCTCAAAATGCTCATAATTTATTTAAAAAACTTGTTTAAACAAACAAACTGGTTATCCCCGTCACATTTTGATTTTTAAGGGACATCTAACAAGCATGGTTATGGTGAAATCGAGTTGGGAAAAATGTCTTAGGATACTTGCAACCTTTGTTATTACAACCTTGTATGTATTCAGATTCAAGGGTTCATTCACAAATTATGAGCAGTTGATTTTGGAGGTACAGCAAAGACATAACTGATTCCCATTTTCAGGTGGATAAAACAGGCCGCAGTTTCTTAATGGATACCTGGATCCTTGGGTACCAGCCCCCGCTGCTTGACCCAAGTCAGAACATCTTCAACACCAGTGGAAAGGTGGTAAATGGAGTAACAACACTTTCCTTCTCCAGGAAGAGGGCCAGCACTGACCCCAAGGATTTTTCTTTCACTGACGATCAGTGTTTGTTCATGATGTTCCCTGTCAAGGGGGGAGCGTTCAACAGTGTCAATAAGAAGATCAGGAAGCACGAGGTGGTGCCTGCTGTGTCAACGGAGAGGATTTGCATCAGATCATGTGGAAATGGTAATGTCAGAATTGTATAGATAGATAGATAGATAGATACATTTATTGTCTTATAGATTATAAAATGCCATAAGACTCGTCCTAAGAGGGAGGTACATAGTTACACTTAATCAAAAGTAAAAACAAACATAAGTATTTACAAAGTACAAACAGGAACAACTTAAGGCATATAGACATTCACATATAAAAAAGTTTTAAAAATATATCACAGTGCGAGGTATTCAGACAAAGAGTAGAAACATTTTACAACTAATTAGTAGTTGACATTTAAAACTAGCAATACTGCTGACATTCCTGAGGTTAGCTGAAAGTTTGTTATATATTTTGATGCTTGTGTATTCCGGTGACTTCTCGAACAGCGTCACTGTGTCTTGGAATACTTAGACTTTCACCTGCCCTTGTATTATAATGTGTGTTGATGTTTTTGTTCTGTATAAATTTTGTTTTGTTTGTATGTGTCAAAAGGGCGAACTCATAAATATGAATGCTTGGTAGAGTCATGATGTTTTTACTTCTGAAGATCTCTCTGCAGGATTCTCTTCTACGAATGTTGAATATAAATCTGAGTATTCTCTTCTGTTGAACAAATGCTCTAGAAATTGAAGTTGATTGCCCCCAAATTATGATGTTTCTTGATAAATGTGAGTGTACGATAATATATGGGGTTGTCCAAAACGGCCGCAGGAAAGTAAACGCATATTAAAACAAGAAAGATTGATATTCAAATCAAGTTGGGTACTTTATTTTGAAGGTTCATTTTATACCATTTATGTATGAAAAATAATATCGCTCAAATGTTCACCACGACTGGATTTACAGACGTCCACGCGATGGTCGAATTTTCAATGACATTTTGCAACATGGTCGGTTCTATGGCATTTATCTCGGCAATGATGTTGTTATTGAGTTGTTGGAGGGTGGCTGGTTTGTTGACGTAGACTTTTCAAATATCCCCATAAAAAGAAGTCCAAGGGAGTCAAATCGCACGATCTTGGTGGCCATGGCACATTTCCTCTGCGCGAAATCACGCGATCACCGAAGAAGGACTGCAATCGATGGATATTGACGTTGGTTGTGTGGCATGTTGCACCGTCTTGTTGGAAATAAACAACGTCCATAACCATTCCTTCAAGTTGCGGCAAAAAATAGTCCTCTATCATCACGTGATATCGCTCAGAATTGACGGTAACGGCGTCCCCGGCCGCATTTTCGAAAAAGTAAGGCCCGATGATGCCTTTTGACCACAATGCACACCACACAGTCACTTTTTGAGGTTGCATCGGCTGCTCTTGTTACTCACGGGGATTTTCGTTCGCCCAGATGCGGCAGTTTTGCTTGTTTACCGTCCGATTCAAAGTGAAATGCGCTTCGTCGCTGGACATGATTTTTGATGAAAAATTAGCATCAATTTGGCGGTGTTCAAGGAGCCAATCTGAGAACGTTCGGCGCGAAAAATGGTCGGCCCGACGCAGCTCTTGCGTCAATTGGATCTTGTAGGCGTGTACATTCAAATCCTTGTGGAGAATGCGGAGCAAACTGGTTCTCGAAATGCCCAATTCTTGGGATCGACGCGTTGTTGATTGTTTCGGATCGTCTCTCACACTCTCCTTCACAACAGCAATATTTTCCGGTGTGCGAACGCTCCTTGGCCGGCCAGAGCCTGGCAGATTTGCTACAGAACCTGTTGCCTCGAATTTACGCACCAGACGACCGGCGGTTGTTGCGACCGAAATGTTCACGAAGCGCGCGAAACGTGTTTTTTATTTTTGCACCATCTTTGTAGTGCTCTTGAATAACTTTAATGCGGTCTTCAATCGAATACGACTCCATAGCGATCAATGGTAAACATTCAACTAACAAAATGACATGTCAGTGACAGAAAACTAAGTTGGCGTCTATGTCAAATTGACGTTTACTTTCCTGCGTCCCTATTGGACAACCCTTTACATCTAGTAAAGCTGAGTCTGATAAGCAAAACTTGAGCTTAAGAATCGCATAATATGATTGGTTCAACTTTTTACACACTTTTTATACGAGTGTAGATCACGGTTACACACGCTAATAAAGTGCAATAAATGATCCATTAAATTTTTTCACAAAAAACGGTATCAAGTAGATTGACTCTGTAATGAAGACAGTTTAGATATATTGGCGCTGATTAAAACTTAAAGCATTTAACAAAATACCTATTTTTGTGTTTTTTATAATCTCCAAATACCAATCTAACTTTCTCATAATTGAACCCTGTTATTATTGTTTGACATACACATATATCAACAAACTTGACAGATGAACGAAAATGAGAGTAGATGTGAGAAAATCTCAGAAAAAAATTATTCGATAATTATAAATCCAGGAAGACACATCAATCGACTTGCGAAATATACTGGAAAGTTAGCTAGACTTGGAAATATTTTTTCTACTGTCGACTTTGCATCATGCTTTATTTTGTAGATGAAGACTACGATGAATACCAGACCACAACAGAAGTTCCTGGAATAGCATACAATGTCGAAGTTAAGCTGGTAGAGCTTGGTGAAAACTTCAAGCTGCCCAAGGCAGGAAGTTTGCAATACACAGACCTGACCAACTCAATTGAAGAGAACTTCAAATCATTATTCAACAAACTTCCTGGTTACAGGAGAGTTATTGTTGAAAATATCAAACCGTAAGTTACACAATTAGTATCAAAATTTGATCTCCCGGAAAACTACATAACGACGAATTTTAAGAATGGAAAAAACAATTATTCCACCCATAATGATATAAATGATCTGTAACATTTACTTGATCAAAAACTCACAAGTTTTTTATTTTTACAGTGATGACAGAAGCATAGTTGCAGCCATGAATTTACAATTGGAAAGACCATTGGCTGACAAAGCCAGATCATTAGCTGAGGACACCAGTGCAATGGATGAAAAAGTCAAAAGGGTGGTTAGAGAGAGCATATCGTCAGGAAAAATAGGAAACCTCAAGGTTGATCCACAATATCTGGTTATTGAACCACAAAAATGTAAGTGCAAACTTACGCAGGTCCACAAAAGAAAAAAGTAGCATGTGGTGAGAGTCCCACCATTTTTTTCCCTAAGTAATTTTTCGCGTTGAACACGAAGACGGAATTGGACATATTGTATTATAGATTTTTTGGCATTGTAGTGAAAAAACCAGTGGCGTACTATTTTTGTTTGGAAAAATAATGCAACTAATCCCCTGTATCTCCGCCACTGGCTAACGTTAATTTTAAGTAAATATTTTTTAATATGGACAATACTTAGGTAAATTCATATACCAAATTTTAATTCATACCAGTTGACGGTTTTGGAGATATTAAAAAAAATGTCTTTCATTTTTAAACTTCAACACCCCGTATCTTTTTAATGAAGCCCCAGAGGAGAAAATGTTACATAGAAGAGCTTCCTTAAAATGCGGTAATGTGTATGATGTTTCATTCTTGGTCACGACTTGTGAATCACCCTTTAGGCTTAAGAAAGCAGAAGATAAACTTATCGCGCGCTGGACCCTGTTGAAGCTTACTCATCACAACTGTGATTGCAACGTTGTCAGATGGTCAGTAGGGAAGACAAATATCTCACCGTTTTCCAATGTGTGGAAACTGAGGGTTAATTATTTGGTCGGTTTGACTGACGACCCATTTATAACTTTCACTGAGTTGAATATATCCTTTAATGAATTGATGACAGCGTTGCGTGGGAATCGCAGAGTCAATCTACTTGACGCTCATTTTTTGTCCTTTCAGATATCTCGAACGCCATACCGGATGCTTCCACCACCAAGGACGACGGCTTCTTCAACCTCCCTGAGGCGAAGCTCTACATAGTCCTCGGCTGCATCGGAGCACTTGTCCTGGTGGCCATCATACAAGCCGGATGCACCATTTACAGAGCCACGGCGAGATCATCGGCCAATCACAAGGTAACGTCACTGTGACAACATCTCCAAGCAAGCATCTCCATCGCTCACGTGTCACGTTGAGCAAGTAGGTCATCGTCTTCTTGAGACTAGCGCTATCTCTGTGCTTCGTGCTGTTGTCGTTTTGTTTGGGTATAGGAGCAGATGCTTTAGAATGCAGGTTCTGTTGGGTAGATTCGTTTTGGGGCAAACGTTTTCAATAGCAGATTAAGAAGAACGCTATAAAAAGATGCTATTAATATTTCGGTTTGACTTTCAACAAAGAAAAACTCTATACTAATGGCGTCAATCGGTTGTAACATGCCAAAATCACGTAAATATATATATAGTATATATAAATACGATAAACAAAATCTAAGAATCAGTCAATGCAAAACAGCTGTATAGTGGCGTGCAAATTTAGGCTCTAGCCCAATAAAGCGGAAAGTAGGAGAGTTATGAGCGCCAGTGACTTGAGACAGATTAAGCCACAAATCCCCGAGATGTTAGTCGGAACTTGTTTTGCTTGACCACCACACAAAAGAAAAGAATCCAACAGCAATGACGACACCTAATTAATTGTATACAGAGAGCCAAATAAAACATAGTTGCGCTGCACGATCTCGCAACTTTCTAGGTTCGCTAGAAAACCTCACTGAGCTTCTGTTCCTGATTTCAACTTGCTAAAGCTTCAGAGTAGATTAACCAACAGATTGTACCTAGAATTTATCCAACAGAACCTGCATAATCTATAAGCATAAGTCATTAGCTTAGCTTTTCAGTCAAAGCTAACGAAGTAGCTGTAGTTAGTTCATTATTATAGATGGCGAGCACAACCCAAGAGAATTTAAAACTGAATTAGCATGATGCTGAAGATAATTGAAATTGGCGACCTTAACTGTTCCGTTTATGAATGTAGTACAACTATGCAGCCTCAATATTAAAAATATAATCTTGTCCTGAAGTCGCCAATTTCATACATTTTCAGCAACATACTAATTTAGTTTTGAATCTTCGTGCTCGATGTTCGCCACCCTATGGGTTGTATTTCTGGGAATGTGGCATTTTAGCGACTAATCCCTTCATATTATCGACATACTGTTGAATTTAACCTCAAGAAAACGAATCGTAATGTTTCCGTGGGTCGCTTTAGCTTTCTCATTTTTATAAAAGTAGTTGCAATCTTTTGAAGATACATATCCATTATTTATTTTTTTAATTTGGCTTTCAATAAATTGAGGTCTTTGCATTGTTATGTTACGATGCATGTAACGTTCAACAATAAGAGTATCACTGGAATGATTTTGCTTATTTCTTGCTTTTGTTCCTCAAATTGCTGAGGTAGCTATTTAGAGAGGAGCTGCATCCCTACTTTGTGCTAAATTATTAAGACATTACAGCATTGATATGCATTTGCATTTACAGACAAATCTAGAAACTTTAAGCTGCGATAACATACAAGCTATTTGCTTTGATTCTAGGTAGTGCTTAGGCCACTTAGGGTAAACTAATACACTTTTTCTATCCCCCTTTACGAATACATGCAATCTTTCATTATCTAATCATTTGATGTTCAGCGTTTTGAACATATTCATAGAGTTTGATTGCTTACTTTTGAGACATACCATGTTTTTGCCGTTTTGCCGAGTTATTTTGGAAAAATGGCTACGAAAATCAGTTATTGATTCAATCAAAGCTAAATTACTATGTTGCTGAAAATATACGAACTCTAAAGGAGTTAATTATCTTATATGTACTAAACTTATTTAAAAAAAATTAATGGCATCCTTCTGAGATTCTGAGGCCTTTAAGGCCCGTATCGTCAGTCGTCCCTCAATTGTAGGGCGCGTTTATGGCCTCCTTGATTGCCATACCCCTTTCTCTCTTTCAAAAATTTCTAGATTACACTTGTCCCGTGTCAGCGTCAGCGCTCTCCTATTGTGAAGATATGTTTTCTTTTTAAATTGTAGGAAATTTCAGGCTGATAAAACATGATATAACTCAAAACCAAGCACAATTTGATGCAAATAGATGTTTGTGACATAACCTCAAAATAGAGCTCTGACACGGAGAAGTAGAAAACTATGACAATCAAGGAGGCCATAAAGGCGCCCTACAATTGTAGGGACGACTGACGATACGGGCCTAAGCCATACCATAATGGAAGCAAGAGCGAAAAAGGTACAAAGTAGCAAAGTAATCGCTCGAAAAAAGCACATCGAAATCTACAGAAACACCAATTTTCGAAACTGTATAGGGCAACATCTATTGATCCTGTGCATAGACCTCAGTTTATAGCATCCCATACAGCTTTTATAAAACTAACAAGGTGCTTTTGTTTGCAATTCGGTAGAGGGTATACAGCGTCCAGCTAGATCCGGTATATTACCGCCAGGTGCATGAAAGCCTGCCCCACTACGCACTGACCACCATGGAAAGAAATAGGCAAAGGTGGTAGCTACCAAAATTTATACCCTACAGTCCCCCCTGGTACCAGGGCTTAGTGGGGGTGAGTTGATCCTTCAAATTCCTCATATTTCGTCTGCCAGTGTCTTACATCTTCCTTCTAATGCTTGCATGCTTGCCTTCGCACGTCTAACATATTCTTAAGAGCACATTATTTTCCAAAGGGTAACTCAAAACCTACCATAAACTATCAGTTCTCTTCTAACCTTATAATCTGGTTCACCCTCACAAAATTACGAGTAACATTGCAAAAAATCTTAGAGGAGTCTGGCAAAAATGTTTACAGGAAGTCAAATGAGCAGGCACATATTTAAAGCACATTAACAACCTATATTGATGAAATTCTCATATTTGGCACTCGGAAAAGTACAAATTGTTTTTTCCAAGAACATTCGTTCTATCAGTTTTCTTCTCATATCTCTCAGAGATTTGTTTTGTACGTTAATATTACTTCATTTAAAATCCTATCCTTAAAGGGTGAACAAAGCTGATTAGTTAACTTATAGTTTTGCACAAGTTTCTTACAAATACAGTTCACGTATCTCTTCTTCGCGTCGTTATCGTCTTTCGACTCAAAAACACAAATTTAACTTCTTTCTCAATTTGCAACATTCGGGGCAATACAAGACTTCTATAGTACCCAAATTTGACGGTCTTAAAAAGTGCCTTTGTACCAGATTTACAAACATACGCAATGGGGGATGGAAGCGTCCTAGAAAACGATCACTTGCCAAAAATGGATATCTAGGAAAAACTTGCGGTAAGCTGACGTCAAGTTCGTTATGGCTATAGGAATGTCATTTTCGGTTTTTTTTTTAAATCAGATTTAAACACAAACAGCTTGTCTGGGTTGGATAGTCATATTTTTTTACCTAATCCATTGCTGGCAACAGGTCAGATTTATTCGGAACCTAATAATTTGGTTATCTTAAACCTGATGTACGTGTTACTCTTGCTTATTTTCACAAGAACTATGCGACGTACAAAGAAAATTCTCAACTGAAAAATCATCATGTAGAAAAGAAGAGAAAACAATGATATAGCTGTACCCAGTTGGTCAGCTTAAAGTGTACTCGTATATGCTGCGCTTTGTGTGCCTACAAAAGATGCTTCCTGTAAACACTTTTATCAGAAAATCTTTCTCTCAATTGGTCTTCAAGTATTTTCAGTTCGCACAAATAAGGTTCTTTGGTTTGAATGTAATTTTATTCCACAAAGCTTGAATACTCATCCTTACAATATTCATATACAGGACCACCTGATTCCCAACTCAGCCTGGAAGGATTACTCAGCTAACACCAACTACGCCTTCGACGCATTTGAGGCCGAAGAAAAGAAGCACCAGCAGCACCCACAGAACCACCAGATGAATGGTAATGGCAAGTCAAGGAACCACCAGGAAAGACCGGAGAGGAATCACGAACGACAAGAACCCGCGCCAAAAGCCAGAGAAAGACTCCAAAGACCCACAGCCAAGCCACCTAGTGTGCCCAACCAAGCACCTGGGGACACCAGGAGTCTGCAGAGGCCCAGAGGTGCTTATCCAAGCACCACTATGGAGAGAGCCACCTTCTCGCTCCCAAGAACGGCGTTTGACAGAAATCATAGGAATGCGCATGATCTGCAACCTGACTTCTATTTCATGCCTTCGCAGAGGAAATATTCTGGGGAAGTAGTAAGAGTTTACGTGGACTATAACAACCAACCCAAATAAAGTGACAAGTGACCCGTAAAGGGTGAAGCTGATCTTCGACTGCTTATATGAACTATTATTCTTACGAATAGTTCAATTTATAAAAATTGTCCATAGCCGGCAGTCGACTTTATTTTGACTCATTAACTAGTCCTTCATAGACTGTTGGTGTTCTATCCACCAGTGGTTTTGTTTTCTGTCTTTATTGACCAACATATAATGCATGACGATAAGAAAATATCAGAATGTTGCTGTAATTTTATATAGTTCCGTTGTAAATAGCTTGTTTCAAATAAGATTGCCATTATAGGACTATAATTAACGAGGAGGTTAGAAAACCATGCCTCGTTTTTTCAGATGCAAGTTACCTTTCAAGTTGAGTTACACTAACCTGTAAATTCAGACGTAAATTACTTGTCAAACTTCAGGTTAACTAACCCATAATAACGCTAACGCTATTTTCATAGGATAAATTATCCTGTTCGCGTTTTGTGATGTTCGATGTTTATTCTCAGGTCATGAGCGACAAATCGTTTTGATATTAAGCAAAATTCTCTGGTAAAGTTGACTACCGTTTTATAGTAAACCTAACATTGAGAGGCGTTTTCAACTTCGTTTTTTGATAATAAGGTCAAATGCCTAAGAATAGTAAAATGTTAACGAAGCAGTCGCAGACAGAACTCATTTTAGTTGTTTATATGGTAGAGACTCGATTTCATCAGCAGTCTGCCGTTGCCATATCGCAAATTTTAGACCAGGACTAGGCAGATATTTTTGTTTCCCAATATTTACAAACGGCTACCTTATTTGGAACACGTCGATATATTAAAATACTATTTGTTGAAATAATGACAGCTCTAAAATTTGGGTGTAAAAATGGGTACAAGGTTATACGCGTGAAAATGAGGGATCTTGCGAATCGTTGCTGAAAAGTGGACGAAGCAGTGGCGTAGCTATGATACGGCAGTTCGATGCGGCGCACCGGGGCCCCATTCTGTTTTTACCCACTTTTAAGATAAAATAGGTACTCGTTTTCATTGGAAGACCGAAGATTCGCTGAAAATAATTCTATAATATATAATTTTTATAAATAAGTATATAATTTCGATTGCATGTTTTTACTCAAGGGCCCCCAATGAAAATCTGGCACCGAGGCCCCAAGAACCGTAGCTACGCCACTGGGACTAAGAGCGGGTGCGATTTGTGAATATGTTGGTGCTAGTTTATAGAATGTAGAATAACAAATAAATTATTTTAAAGTATGTTTCAAAATAATCAGCCATATTAATAAATGAACTGAGAGTTAAGTTACGTCGATAATTTTTGATAACATTTTCTCAAAAATTACACATGTGGCATTAAAATTATCTAAAATATGTATTACAAGGCAATGATAAAATGCACTTTGAAAGTAATATAGCATTTCTTTGCAACATAAAAAAAAGGAGTACAATATAGGAGTTTATGATTTCTGTTCATATATTTTATAAAATATTAATCTCATTTTGTAGTTGGAAAGATCGTTGGAATAAATAATAAATAAACTTCGGAACTGTATGCCACACGTCTAAAACGTCGTCGCTATAATAGATTTTTAATAAAAGTTAAAGTAGCTCGAATCTACGATTTATCACCAAATACTAATAATATATTCCATAAAATATTCAAAGAAAATAATATTGTAAAGCATACTAGAGATAATAATGTTTCTGGTAATCTCATCAAAAAATGAAGTCTCAATAGGCTTTTGAACATATAATAGTGCCAAGCACTAGGAATACAAATGACAGTTATTATTGTTACGCAATGTAAATAGTATTTTATGTTTTAAGTATATTTTATTATGTGTACTGTAGTCAGCTAGAGCATTGGTACAGCTAGAAATATGAGCAAAAAATGGTCCGTTATTAAATCACAACTTAGGGAGAAGAACTATAACTTCTGAGAGATATATTTCTAATTTCTAATCAGAATAAATACCTTTAAAGTTCAAATTATTATTGTCGCGGTTATTCCTCTCAAGCACACATCACCAATGTTATCAAGCATTACCATATGACATAACCAAAATTCTACTTGCACCTGCACTAGTTGACCACTGTTCATCTGTACATACATGCATAAGTAAATTTTACAAATTTGTGTATTATAGTTATTTTTTGTAATAAATTTGTTTTGTAATATATTATACTAAAGTAAAACAATATTTTTATGACGAGAAATGAATATATACTTTTTCAAAATATGGTAACTTTTATTTTCGTTCACGGATTTAAATTACAATCACATATATTCCTTACAGACTTAATAATATACAATACTAATATAGTGAATGGAATGAATAATCTCAACCTGAATGATATGAAAAATAGTTTACTGCATCAGTATGATGATTAAAAATAACGCATATACAATAGTTGCTTTTTAACATCAAAAATGAATAAAACATAGTAAGCATTTGTTCAAACACAGTTTGCCAATGATTGCTATTTCATGTTTTCATTTAGTTGGATATATAATCATTGCTAAAACGAAAATGCCCATGTCCTGATTTTAGGCTTTTAAAAAGTTAAAAAAGTTTTGAGATACGAAATAGTTTACAAATGCAGATTTTTCGCAATACAAAGTACTTCCCAGTCTACGATCAAAGTAATGAAAATCGACATAAATGCAATCATTAGGCAAGCCATACTGATGTGTAAAAGATATTGCTGTTTATCGTGGTGAGTAAAACGGGTAATCGAGCCGAATATCAGAGGAAGAGGAACTGGAAATGTCACGAATATCATGTATCGAAAAAATGAAAGCGGGTTACAAGGAAAGTCGTAGAGAAAATTTAGGGACATTGCAGATGAGGTCATTACCCACAGATCTAACCATATAATATACTCATAGTGTCCGTAATATCGACTAATTCATATTTTTTATCCTAGTTGAGTCCCCAGCAATTATATCAGCTGATAATAATCGGTACAGCTACATACAGGTCGAAACAGCAAATATATAAATATGGAATTTTTAGTAATTTTATCAGATATTTTCAAATACAAGCATGTTTGTCACAAAAAAAAAAACAAAAAAATACGATGCTTTTCAAAAATGTATACTTGTTAAAAGACATGTTAACCATCATTCGAAAATGTCCAAGATTTGAGTCATATAAATTCCAATATAATCACTCAGTGACTTTGAAATTAGTAACTGCTCACATAGGGCAGCCAATGATTATTGTCAACGGATATGCTTCAAATGCTAAACGCCTCACAAACGGTTGATGTTTGGCTGCTATAATTGATCACTATCATTGTCACAATTTGTTTTATTGCGTTACAAGAATCGAGCGCTTCTAATGGAAAACCCATTTATATAGTAAAATTTGAAGTCCTTAAACATTATCCACAACTTTCCCTGTAATCCTGTAGATCTCGGAGAGGAAATGACTAATATCAGTAACAGTAATATCATTTCTAAATAATCCCTAGTTAATGATAAAAGAGTGAATGAATAAAACAGCTAATATCCTACGAAAATAGCACCAATATATGACTTCTTTTAATACTAGGATGAGCATGATGGGTAAAATGAATGAAGATCGATATGTAGTAAAATCTATACATTTTTGTAAAATGCTCTAAAAGTATACATAATATGCAGCTATATTTCTGGTTAGCGTAAGCATATTACTGTAAGCCACTACGCAATGGCTTCCGACACACTAAAATTTATATGTTGATGATCCTTAAAAAAGCGTTTTATGGAAAGAAAGAAAATACAGTCAAACTAGGACTGATATTTTTGTTCTCAAAACGAAATACTTTAAACGCTTAGCTTCGTATATGGTTATTGTACATGAATTTGGAGACTCAAGCATTTTTAGATCTCCACCAATACTTGCAAAGCAGATTTACAGCCCATGTTAAAATAACTCCTCAAACCGAATGTTAATCTGTTCAATTTTATTTTTTGGTTTTTTTTTAAAAGCTACAGAGTAGCAAAATTTCCACTTAGCCTCTTACATAATTCATAGAGTAAATATGCCAAACAACTCTGTATAGCAGTAGATGCTGAAATAAAATTGCCAAACTGCATGATATGTCTAACAGATAATCGGACATGGGTTGTTTAAACATGGTTATTAAATTATTATTAAATATCATTTCTGTTTGTATTAGTCAAATTTCAGCCTTACGTTCAATTGGACACTCGGTTAACAAATAAATCCATGCCATAAAGGCATCGAATTCCTTTGGTTATATTTTACATTGTACCACTTGTTGTCCTAGTCTACAAGAAAGCTTTTTGGTAACAGCTGAGATACTTGATAATGGTCTAAATTAAATGATCATTTAAATAATGTGAAGAATCTAAAAGTAGTATGACGTATATATGTCATAAAAGTACATCCTTTGTTTCCTAGAAAAATAAATCTAGAATATCAATTGCAAAATAAGTTTCGCTAAAAAAAGAACGGTATATAAAGAGGTATTAAATTGTGATGATTTCAAGGTTTTTCACTTGGATATAAAAAATTCGTTGTTGAAATAGAACAGTCCAAATGCAGCTTTATTATTTAAGTTATTATAGGCACTAATACAAAGAAAAGAAAGACTGATATGCCATTGCTTTTGTCTGTAATTGTTTCCCAAATGTCATAAGAATTCAAAAATATATTCGTTTTTAGGATACTCTTCACAAATGACGTCTTTCATTTCAAATGCACATTTTTGCAATCGCAATCCCACTGTTTTTTTTTTGCCTAGATTTACCGTCAACACAAAATCTGAGCTGAAAATCATTTATGAAGGAATTTTGTGAAACTATCGTACGAATTATGCATATAACCAAAATTTAGACAGTAAAGATATAGCTGTTTAGTCTCCGGTAATATCCAACTAAAATTTTTAGGTATGCAACTGCAAAAATATACCTTAAATATTGCAGATATGAAAATTGGCACATTTATAGACAGTGACCAATTCGACGAAATTATCTAACATACTATATCACAATGATTCCACAATAGTGAAAATGTCCGATACATAAGGTAGGCCTAGCATAATACTTAGGTTATACTGAAGTACCTTCCATATGCTGAAAGGCAGTTTATGTAGATAGTTGAATGCGATGAGTGAAGTGTATGGTATCCCTGTAATATATCAGACATCAAATTAGTACAACTGTAATAAATCAGACTGAACCGAACATTATTATAATCATTGTTAGATATTACAAATAAAAACAACTGTTACAATATCATAATCTAGTGCATCGAAAATATAAGTTTGGATTCAATTGATACATATTTTATTGCCTATAGTCTCCCATACCATGCTCAATACAAAAAAACGGTAAAAAACGGACCACCACTTAAAACCTGCAAGTAGTATAAGCTTATAATTAATCAGTAAAAAGCAAGATAGAAAGTATTTTGATGATACAGGTACAACAAAGTGTACTTAAGAAATATGATTTTGATCCCACGGAATATTTTATGCCATAGAGTGCTAGAGTAACTTTTGCGCCCGCTACATTCACTCTTTTAGAACCAAACCATAAGATGTATTTTCTAATGTGCAACTAACCTTCTGACATGCTCATGTAACGACAGCTCTACTAATGGGCACTGTTTCAGGATCCAATAGCTCATCATCACCAGACAGTAAAATATCACTTTCAGAGTCCACTCGCTTTTTCCTCCTTAACGAGCGATATTTGATGTTAGCCTTTTGCAGCAGGCTCTGTTCAGAACTATTCCTCCTACGTTTGGACGGGTCTTTGTACATTAAGAAGTTGTCTGTCACCCAAAACATTAACATCTGGAAGTAGAGAAAAAATGCTACCATAAGATATATTAAAATTGTGTTTACGAGGAGGTACCCAAACATAACCGGTATAGCATTGCAGTGGGCGGAGCTTGTGTAGTACACATTTCTGCCCCTAGAGGCGTACAGCGCAACTCATCACCAGTTCAATGCCACTCGAGTTGTCGATCTGGCTTGTTTCGTTCCTCTGTAGTCATTATTTTTGCTAGAGCTGTTTCGTGCTTGTTTAGTTTTTTACGATGGCAAGCTTCACTGAGCAACGTGCAGCTGTGAAATTCGGCTAATTGTACTACGCGGACCTTAACTTTTCTTAAAGAGGAAATTGCTCACTGCACACATGGACAGAGGAATCTTATGTCTATTAACAAACTGTAAATATTGTCCACTAATTGTATCACTGTTATATTTGTGCTAAGAATCAAGAATTCAAATCCATGACATAGTATACATAAATTATCCTACAGCCTCCTTATGTCACACTAGTATGCATAGAAATGTATAATAGATACGAGTATAACGAGAGATGCAATTTTTTTGGTGTGATATTGACAAATCATAAATTTATACATAATTTACAATAGACACTTCAATGTGTTTATTTAATATTTGCATTTAGATATTGGTGCTATCTACGTTTATGTTATCTAATTTCACTGATATGCAGCGTGAACCAGTAGAACAAGTCTGCAATATTTTTGCCAAGGGACATATTAACAGATAACAATGTTTCAAAACTAAATGAATAATGAGTGAAAAGTTGTATATACATATATATTCATTCTATATGTAACCATTTCAGACAATGGCGGTCCACATAAGTAAAGGTGGTATTTTCTAAATGCTGAATCCGACTTCTGTCATGTCATGCGATAAATTTCCATGCCTTGATACGCGGGCTTTAATTGTGAAAAGTGAAGAACAGGTTTCCGAGAAAATTTTAATCCACAGTTGTAACTGGAGAAAAATGTAACAGACATGCTTAGATCAGCTACTTACATTTACAAAGAAAGGTATAATTAGCATCACAAAAGCCAGCTCCACTTTGGGATCTGGTATAGGAGATAGAATGAAATCCTTCACATTCTCCCAAAAATCCAATTGCATGAACAATGTTATAGTCAATTTAACAATAAACATTAGGAATACATAAAGGCAACATTGAGCCATCCAAGCATTTGCTGAAGGTGGTTTACCTAAAAAATAAAATGAAATTGATCATTCATTTAACATGATTATCATCAAATCAAATAAATCAATGGAACTATTTTCTAAAAAATGTTTAATCAAACACCACTGATAAAAAGTTTGTATCAATCATCTCCATTTTTTTCAAAAAATGAAAAGTACCATAAGCATCACTTCAATTCTCAATGTTTTTCACACCATGACTTTGGCTTGGCTTGGTGACAACAAGACTAATAATCTATTATCAACAGCTACTCGCAAGTATAAGTGAAATAAATTTTCCTCAAATATATTTCTATTAACTAATTCAGATTAAAAAAATATTTTAACCCTTTAATATACATACCATACTCTCCAAAGTTGATCACCCACCACCCTCTTGTTCTAGCTAAGTACTGTGCTAATCTAATACCAACAAATAATATTAAAAGTCCTAGCGATGAGTCTAGAACAAAGTTTATCAAATACCTATAACAGAAAAATTACATATTAGAAAAAATCTAATCAACAAAGAATCTCAACTTAACATAACATCAATAACTCAACATAAAATTTTCAAACACGATTAAATATCCAATCTAGCAATGCAAAGATAATGTTTAAATTAATTCAGTTTAAGTTGTCTGCCTGTCAAAACGATTATGCTACTATGCATGTGTTTTAGCCAAGAAAAACAAACAAAATAGCACAAGGTTTCAAGGTCATTAGTTTATGGATATTGTAACTCTAAATTACTTTCAAATGTTTCAGTGTCATTATTATAATTAAAATATGGTAATGTATGTGATCTAATTGAACTAAAAACGCCAATACCTATTAATTTGCACATATTGCTCAAATAAATAATACAGCAAAAATAGTCATTAATTATTGGAAAACGCCACGTGCAATGGGTATCATTGTAAATAAAAGTAGACTGTTCACTGCCTTATGGTTCTATTAATATACAGGTGCATCCGTATTATAAAACCAGAATACTGACACAATATCATTATTCAGAACATGTCATATCTCTAAGCATGCATTGAAATAAATTTCAATGTATTTCTTGAAGACTATTGCCAATATAGACAAAAAGCATGTGTAAGCCAACTATTGCTGAAATAATTTGAATAACTAATATGTCTTGGTGTGAGAAGTTCATGCTGCTAACTTAATGTTAATGTAGCAGAATATAGATCTTAAAAAGTAAATTACCCTCAAGTGTCTTGTTTGTCTTACGTAGCTCATGATTCTGGAGGTATCAAATACAGGGTGGGCCAGAAAGGCGTACAAATTTCAAAACCGCATTGGTCGTGACAGGCATGCGGGCGCGGGACACGGGTGTTGGGGATAAGCAGCTTGGTACTCCGAAATTTAGTCGGCACGCAGCGTTACACCGGTGAGCAACGTCCGTTCTGTGTTAAGGCTTATTACAAAAATGGAGAATCGAGCAGTAGTGCGCGACGTTGGTTTCGTTCTGAGTTTAGTACACATGATCTAAATCAATGTCCTAGTGAAAGTTGGATCAGGTCGTGGGTCAGAAAGTTCGAGTCTACCGGTTCGAGACTGAATCAGAAACCTGCGGGGCGTCCAAGGTCAATACGAACAGAGGAAACTCTAAGCGAAGTTGCGACGTCCGTATGGCGCGATCCACAGTTATCATTCCAAAAGAGATCAGCTGAGCTCGCCATATCAAGAACATCTGTAAGGCATATTTTGGTAAAAGACCTTAAATTGCACCCATATAATTTTCAACTAGTGCAGGAATTGAAGCCGCAGGACCAGCATCTACGCCATGCATTTGCCAAAACAATGTTAGAGCGCTTTCCAAGTTTGAACAATACTCACTTTTCTGATGAGCCTGATTTTCATTTGAGTGGATTTGTCAACAAGCAAAGTTACCAGTATTGGGCCGCACAAATCCCAAATTAAAACATCAACGACATTTGCATTCACGTTATGTTACAATTTGGGTGGCCATGTCGGCTGAAGGAATCATTGTACCCTATTTCTTCGAAAACGAGCAAGGCCAGACTGTTACAGTAAATTCTAATCACTACACAGCAATGCTACATAACTTTTTCTTTCCACAACTGCATAATTTCGAAGCCTACCATAGCAGGACCTGGTTTCAACAAGATGGCGCGACATCCTGTACCGCCAACAAGTCTTTAGCAGTGGTAACAGAAATATTTAGTGGACAACTGATATCGCAACGAGGGGACATTCCGTGGCCCCCGGAGCTCAGATCTCAGGCCACTGGATTTTTTCTCTGGGAATGGAAGATCCGCATTTACGCCAATAAACCGACGACGATTACCCAGCTCAAGCACAACATTTCTGAGGAGATATCCACTATGCCACGAGCGATGTGCCAGTGAGTTATCATGAGAATTTAAGGAGTGTGTACGTTTTGATAGCTCACATGTGTTATTTTTAAAAAATTATATTCCCTTGTATCTACTTTATTGAAAATATAAATTACCTTCTCTATGCTTTGTAGTTTTTCTTATATGATGTTTGAAAATCCACTCAACTTAATGGCCCACCCTGTATCTCAATGCTACTTTTGTAATGCCAAGAAAATAACAATTATTAACACGGATAAAATAACATAGTGACCTAAATAGTTGAAAGAATTAAATATGATACAAAATAAATCTTATAATAGCACAGATATCTATATGTATATATGTATGTATGTTTATAAATAACTTGTTTATGAGTATAATGAAAACAAATATATTCTTCCACACTACATATTGACCTTAAGAAAATATGAGAATACAAAATTATCCAACAAAATAGAGCCTCACATGTCAGAAGTACATGTCAAAGATTTCAGATAGATGAGCAAATAGAAATTTTGCTATAATATATAATTTGATAAACATTATATGTATCCTTCTAGAAAGTACTGCTATTTGCTGGATTGATTTGATCATCAAGATGAGGATAATATAAATAAATATTTATCTACCCACATGTAAAACTTACACGTTTCTTTTTTAATACTTAACAACTAACCTTAAGAATGAACCATTTGATTTTTAACATATAATGAAAAATCATTACCATTATCAAATTGAAGAGAAAATAACTTCTATTTTGTGTAAATATACAGCATTTAAGTGGCCACAACCTCAACAATCTAAAGTTCATTTTCTTCAATAATGTTACCATATATTTGGCATCAACCAGACTCAAAATCTAATTAACATAATGACATATGGATACATATTCTTGAATGTAACCTTGAACAATATTTCATTAAATAAGCTAAATGAAAATTCCTTGTGGAAAAGAAACAATTGATTCTGATTACAAACTGCTACTGCTAGATAGGACTGATTTCTAAAACAAAATGTAATACCCTGTCTATATTATAATTTAATTAACATTGTATGAAGCTTACCAGGTACAAGGATCTCCAGTGTATTGACCTGAGAGCCAAATATTTGCAAAGTGTATGGCCATAGCTCCCATTCCTTGCTTCGATGTATCGTAGAACCATATCAACCAAGATCGTCGTTCGAGTTTAGGTTCGCAGAATCTTTTAGCTACAAAAATGTAATTCACTGCAAGCACAGCACAAGCAAGTACGATTTTTACCTATGAGACACGTGAAAGCAAGACTGGCTAACAGTACTTGCAGGAACCATCCGTACATATCCGTGAGGGCATCTTTGGAGCAATGAAGGCCCCCGGAAGACTGCACAGTTTCTATTAATGTAGCTGTTGTATTCATGGTTGGGTTTTGCATTCCTGGGTTCTAATTGTCATTCTTGAATGAATATCTTATGAGATGAATGACGAAAAACACTTTTTTTAGGTAAAATAAAAAAAACAACTCAACTTTCAACTAGGATTTTGACAACTACAGTGACAACAAACATAAAATGAAAACTGCAGAACCGTTGGCTCGTTGATTGACGTTTGACATCGACGGATGTTCAGAGCACAAGACATATCTTTCTACCACTTTCTACATTAATACAAAAAATCCAGCTATAATGCAGGTCCCATTCGATGCCTCCAACGTTGTTTACAACGTTCGACACCCCCCAATTGGCAAGTGTGTCTCCTACACGATGGGATGAACTTTTTAGTCTCGGACGTTCGACGCATGGTGATGCCAACGCCTATTATCGGTGTCAGTGCCGCGCTTGAACCTTTACAACTGAAGGAAAAATTATACAAAATAAACGAGGAAACAATTTTTTCGAGCGCCGAAAAATAATTTCAGGTCTGTCCTCAGCGACCAAAACTTAAGTATGTCAGAAGCCTCAAAAATGTCGGAATACGAAATTTGACCGTTTTTTGTTAGTATTTCGACGATAGCTCCACCGCCACTGTACTGATTTTCAAAAACTGCAGAGATTTTCGTCATTTTCATAGTAGTAACCTAGGGACAAAATTTCATCATAATCCTGATAGTACTTTCAGAGTTATCATTTATTTAATCTTTTTCGTTAGTTATGAAATGGAACTCAATATATTTCTCAACTAGTCTTGAATTGCAACAGGACATTATTATGAAACAACTGTAAGCACTTGATAATTTATAATTTACTAAAATACATATCCTTGGGCCAGCCATAACTCACCTGCGAAACGTACAAAATATTAGCAATATGAAGAAAGTGTTGCAGCCTATGCTTTGTATGTATACTAATTTAATCCATTCTCCTCAAAAGTTAGTTACGGAACATACATTATTATTAATAGGTAGGTATTCAAATCAAAAGACTTCCCATACACCACTACTTCACCACAAAAGAAATAAATAATGTTTGTCACCGCTACTGGTTCTAACCTAATACCATCAAACACATGACATCCCGTGTGGGAACGTAACGAACCACACTTCCAACGTTGTAAGGACCTTTGACGCGAGTCGGGCCGTGCCATGTGGACACAAGCAATCCGTCTTTAGGCAGCAGCGGTAGCCGCAATAGTAGACTCTTCGGTCTCCTGATCAGTCGCCGTGCGCTGTGCTGGTTCGAATCCCGTTCCATGAGAAATTTTTCTCTTGGCTATGGATGTTGTGATTGTCCGTAGGTGGACGGTCTCTGACTGTCGCACGCAGAGGTACCACCCGGCGGATCTCGTATAGGCGGGGCCAGAATGTATGCATGTTGCATGCACACGTGTTCCCTCGCCAGAGTCCGTGTGGCGTTCCCCTGTATCCCCCTATCGTCCCACGGCACCCCATGGGTGTTTAGGCCTTAGGCCTTCGTGGTGGTTGGTTGGAGTATAACAAAATCTCGTGTGGGAGCGTAACGAACGATGCTTCCAACGTTGTAACGTCCTTTGACGCGAGTCAAATTTACCGACAACAGCCCGAACGTGCCATGTGGCGAACGTGTGGGAGAGGTTTAATAAGGTGACACAATTGTGCGGTGCCGAACGTTGTAAACAACCTTGGACTTGGAAGCATCGTGTGGGACCCACTTTACAAGTCGGCTGTCAAGTACCACGCGACATTTCTGACAGCTTGACGTGAACCTGAAACTGACAAATGACAGCCTCTTTTAAATTTTCTGAAAGAAAATAAGTTTGTAGGATTTTGCAAATCCGCAAACATCCAAAAATATATTTGTTTTTTAAGACAGATTTACAAATAATACGCTAGATAATGCCTCCCAAGTTCGATCCTAATGAGGTAAAATATGGTAAGTTTACAAAATATGTGAAAATCAGATCAGAAATGTAGACGACATCGCAGCCTACAATGTTTTAATTTTTTTCAGTATACCTAAGATGTGTAGGGGGAGAAGTTGGTGCAACATCATCGTTGGCCCCAAAAATCGGTCCCCTTGGTTTGGTAAGTAATTTCCTCATTGTCTTTACTACTAGAATTTTTCCCTGTAACCTCAAAAATCGAATGTGTACTATTTACGTTTTTCATGCTTGCAGTCGCCCAAGAAAGTTGGTGACGACATTGCCAAAGGAACCGCTGATTGGAAAGGTTTGAAGATTACTGTACAGCTGAAAATCCAAAACCGTCAGGCGACAATTTCTGTTGTCCCTTCAGCTGCTTCATTGATTATTAAAGCTTTGAAGGAGCCCCCACGTGACAGGAAGAAGCAAAAGAACAGTAAGCAAATGAAATAATTAAATGAATAAGTATTTACCATATTTTTTTTAGTTAAACACAGTGGGAACATAACCTTTGATGATATACTTGCAATTGCAAGGCAGATGAGGCCTCGTTCCATGGCAAAGGCACTCTCAGGAACAGTAAAAGAAGTTTTGGGTACGGCACAATCTGTAGGATGTACAATTGATGGTAGACCACCACATGATATCATTGATGACATAAATGACGGTACTGTTGAAGTTCCAGAAGAGTAACTTAATAAATAAGTTTTTATAAGTTTAAGGTATTGTTTTATTTTGTTGTTGTCCATGTACCACAAATGGTAAATTTCAAGTCCTTCATTGTGCTTATTAGAAACAGCTTGATAAATTGATGGTACTACCATATGTTTACTTGGTAGTCATGCACATACCATAACTTTGTATTGGGGAGTATTGTCTGTTTCTTCCTACAAAATACTGTTTTAGTTTATTAGCTAAAAAACATTTTTTTCCCTAAAACTCTTGTTACTAAAAAATCACATTTTTTGAGCTGTTATTGCACATCATTATATTTCTGGAAATGAAATTTTGGAAAAATAGATCTCCATACACAAAATGCTTGCCCAAAATTTTTTTATACCTACAGAAGTACATAATAGTTTATGTTGTACAAGTTAAAGTTGCAATAGCTCCCAAATGAGCTATGGTATGTATATGACCACTGACAATATGATCAAATATCCATCTGAGTTAAAAAACTAATTTTCAGTCTGTCCAATCTGATTAAGTTGAAGTAATGAATATAATGAGCATAAATATCAACTCAGGGGGTGAACATTTGATTGTCATTCATATTTTTCATCATATGAGAAGACGAATATCTTTCCCTGACAAAGTCACAGTACAACCAAAACACAATTTCTATTGAAATTTTATTAATTAAAGACATATAATCATTTACCTATATCTGTATTTCTCGTAAAGCTAGTTATCATGTTTTCAGCCCACTTAGGCTGATCTGTAGGCACCATATGACCAGCATTCCTCACCAATACTTCAGTAAAGTTACCATAGGTTTTACTATAGCCCGCAATCTCTTTTCCCACATTCCATATCTTTCTATGTGCTTTGCGATACCCTCCAATATCATTAAATTCTATATTCTTTAACAAATTCAATGTCAGAGGATATGCGACACAAATATCTAATTGACCAGTGTACAACAACACCCTGTAATTGTTAACTGCTTCCACGAACCATGGCGACATGGATTTTGGCATGTCTTCAAAGAGATTTGCATAAGCCTTTTTGGAACCAAATGTAACATTCCCAACATGGATCGCTTGTCGTGTTTCTGGCTTGTTAAGATATATGTCCATAGGAATTTCGCTATCAGGGTCAGTTACTTCTAGGTAGTTGTAGAAGCTGATATTTCCATTAGCTATGTTCATGATCTCTTGTACTTCCTCAAATGCGTTCGCGGCATCGAGGTATTTTTGTTCTGTAATGTACTTAACAGCTGAAACCAAATAAAAATTGCACATTAGGCAAGTATAGTATTATTCAAGCTTAACTAGAGAAGACTATAAATATATGCAAAACTCACAAAGGTAGTAAAGTATTGAAATTGATTGGATATGTTGTTTAGTCAAGTGGTCAAGCAACCTTGCTGTGTAAATCAGTGGAATTACTTGATTACTTTTTGGATGACTTCGGGAAGAATATTTATTTCCATATATTGTTCTATTGTGCTTTTGTTGACATTTTTCATATATGCCCACGGAAAGCCGTGTGGGTATATTAAAACGGGTAATCTTCGGAGCTGTTTGGAATTGCCTAATCGGGAGATCAGACTTTCTGAACACATTTATCGTGACGCGATGTTCTGATCTACTAGTACCATATTTCTTGGAAGTTAAGTTGTGAAGGTCGCAAAGCTTTGGATCATATCGCGGCAGAACTTGGTTATTCTAGTAAGGGCCGGCAACGTACCATCGGACCTCGCATATTAAAATAAGCTTTCTGCCAGCAAACCAACCACTGTAGAGCAATATTCAGCAAGCTATCCAAAATATGTCTTTGTGATTGCATAACTGGCACAATCCGAACAATTAGGGAATAAGATTTCTGTAGAACCTGAACAAGGCTTATCGGCCACCTTGTATTTCATCATTATATTTACCTTTGTCTTCACACTTCTTTATGACACGCGACGTGTTCAAATCGACCAATCCAACTTGATATAGATACTGAGCATAGCCTTTCTGATACAGTGGATCTATATAACCATTACCGATAGCAAGGCCTTTCAAATTAATCTTCTTGGGAGCGGTGGGATTGTTCTTGTGGATGGTATGAGCTAAAGCAGGTATGTATTTCCCTGCATATGATTCTCCGGTGATGAAGAAGTCGTTCCCCCTCAGTTCTGGGAAGAGTGTGAAGAACTGTTGGAGTGCTATGTAGAGCTCGTTGCCAACTTGGGTTTGATTCCGTGCATAGCCATTGTCGTTATCTGTGAAGCTGAAACCAGCTCCTACGGGGTTGTCGATATACAGCACTGAATGATTGTTGGTCCATGTATGTTCCCTAAAAGGTAATGAGGTGTTTCAAAATCTATGGCGCTATGATATTGACCGGACGCCTTCCAGATCTGCAGGGTAAATATAAGCAAAATATGATGAAACTTTAAAATACATATCTGAAATATTTAAATGGTAAAATTTTATAAATGCAATCAATTTGAAATATTTAAATGGTAAAATTTTATAAATGCAATCGATTTGAAATTTTAATTATTTTCAGTGCCGTAAACCCCGCTTATAGACCCTGATATTTTTATGGAGTAGCGCAACTGTTTTACATACTCAGTGACATTAGAAGTGTTACACCTAGAAAAAATAATTTCTCCAACTTGATTTTTTGGCATTGAGGTAGTCTTACATCAAGAATGAAACGATAACATTCTGACGAAATTTTGTTGACAAGTAATAAGAAAAAAAGTTTTGGGCGACCCAGCAGCTGACTACACTCCTGTATGCGTCGAGGTGTCAACAACATGAGATGATCGACGTGTGGTTGTGGCACCTGATTCCAAGCAACTAGAACTTCGTGGATTAGCTGTGGCAAAAACTAAGAGGTAAACAAAAACAAGGATAAAACGTTGACATTGATGCCACAGCATCCTTTAATATGGTCATTATTTTAACACTGCTAAACTCACTGAGTACATATTTTGTACTAGATAAACATGCTGTGGCATGGGCGAGAAAATTTCCAAATATATTCTAGTAATTTCAACTTCTGCTAGCAGCAACTAACAGTTGAAACATCCCAAATGCCGTTAATTGGTTTGTAACTGCCAAAAAGCTGCTAGCCTTTATAAATAAAATATTCCTGGATATATTTCTAGGCGCAATTATTTATGGATAAAACGTTTCAACAGTATGTTACCTAATTTCCAACTGGGACTTCTTATTCACCATGATGGGTCCATTTTCCGTGAGAAGTCCGAACAACGAAGATACTCCGGGACCTCCTTGCAGCCATAACAGCACGGGATCATTTTTATAGTCACCTTTTGATGGGAAGAACCAGAAGAACTGGTTGCTGTTGAAGCGTTTATTCACCGTGAAGTACCCAGAATAACTTTCAATCGTATTTGCAACCCCATCCAGTGACACTTTTGAGGCCTCACGTGCTTCACGAGTCTTGTTTTGTTCTAGTAGAGGAGTCAGTATCAGAGGCCCTCCAACGTCCTCTTTGAGGTACTCAACTTCGTGAGGTCTGTGCGGATTTAGTAGAGAATTCACAACGTTATCGTTCGCTAGGCAGTATATGAGTATAGTCAAAATCACGAGTTTGATACCCATGTTGTTATTATATGAATAAAAGATTCGTTAGGTTATACGTATAAACAGAATATGTAAAGCGGTACACGTACACGATTAGATTTGCAGTACAGATACAGAGGAGTGAAGTGGTGCTCGTAGATAATATCATTGGAGTTGAATAAAGGAAATGGTCGAACAGTGCAGTACTAAAATGGGGAAAAATAACAGCCATACACCTGATAGTTCGGCTGCATTTGAAAAGTGGAAATGTGATAAAGAATATTGATAAATTTGCATTAAAGGTAAACGCAAGGTATAGGTAGGTAGAAAATGGACTTTCCCCAGGGGTCCATTTGGTGAGGGTTCAAAGGAAGGCAAAGCCTTCGTCTGGCTCAGTAATATTTGTATTCGTATATATTCATTAAAATTATGGTGTCCTGGGTAATTTGATCAGTAACTTTATTCTTTAATACATTTAACAACATCGTAGAGTAAGAATTACCACAGGATACACGTGAAATATAGAATCGTTTGTCGAGCCTAGAAACCACTGTTTTGTATGTTTGTTTAGGTAACTATTTATTTGCCATTAAAAAAGTTGATTTATTGTACCCTGTTTATCTTTTAAAAATATGTCTCTTCAAATCAAACTGTTTGTATCTCTATAGACTACCTCCAATAAAAATTAACATTGCATGAATCTCGACTCTGTGCTCCTGGATCCGCCCCTGTTCCGACGCCATTGCGGGGTAACGTGTCATAATTGACAATCTTGACATTTGTTTTCATAACCTACAATTTCGTCTTTTTGTTGGTGTTGCTTTTGAAAAATATTTTGAATTTCAAATAAACATGGATGATGAAGCAGAAACCTACAAACTATGGAGAATACGTAAAACTGTTATGCAGGTAATCTAAAGATACTTATTTACTTTCGGACATACATTTACTTATGGAATTTCCAGTTGTGCCACGATAGAGGTTATCTAGTCACCCAAGATGAATTGGATCAGACCTTAGAGCAGTTTAAAGAACAGTTTGGAGATAAACCCAGTGAAAAACGGCCATCAAGGAGTGACCTCATCGTTCTGGTAGCCCACAATGACGATCCAACAGATCAGATGTTTGTATTTTTCCCTGATGAGCCAAAAATTGGGATCAAAACCATCAAAACATACTGTTCTCGGATGCAGGATGAAAACATCCACAGGTAACTCTCATTACATACAATGGGAAAACAGTACTTATCATCTGCTCAGTGAGAGAATGCAAGGAAAAGCAATGCAGGCAGAAAAAAGTGGTGTCAACTATTATGTGTGAAATTAATTAAGGAGAAAGATCTGACTGCAATAGTAGTTTCTCAGACAATACTGGTACCTGTTGGTTTCAGCAACACTCTACATTTTGTCTCTTGCATTCTTTCACTAGGCAGATAATACAGAAGTTACAGATTAGGTCCATCCATTAGGCTGACAGCCTTGAGTTAGGCTACTCCCTATGATATTTCAGCTATGTAATACTTGTGATAATTTTATAGAGTTGGACTTTTATTTCCGCTCAAAATTACTTTCATCAGAGTACCATGCAGAAGAATGTTCATACCATTAATTTATTCCATGTTCATACTAAATATTAGTACTCCATTTTATTTTTGTTTTTAGGGCTATTATTGTAGTACAAGCAGGAATGACACCTTCAGCTAAACAGTCGCTTGTAGACATGGCTCCCAAATATATCCTAGAACAGTTTCTTGAATCTGAATTACTGATTAACATTACTGAGCATGAACTGGTACCAGAACACGTGGTTATGACACCTGAGGAGAAACAAGAACTTTTAGCTAGATAGTATCCTTTAGAGTGCTTTTATCAAGTATGTTGAAATTATCATGTCAATCATCAAAATGAACTTCTTTCCACAACTGATAAATAAAAAAAATAAGTGTGAAACGTCCAATTAATAGAAACAATGATGTGATGAAATTTGTGTACATGTTTTTATAAACTCTTGGACTTTTTTATCTATCTCTACAAATGGGAGAATTTTAAGGGCCCTTTTAGTGGTCCATGATGATTGGAAGAAATGAGGTGCATTGGATTGAAGGTCAAAAATATCATTATCTTCCTTAGTAGATAAATCAGTAAACTGAAGGAGAACATGCTGATGAGAATTCAAGCTGGAGATCCTGTAGCAAGATATTTTGGGCTGAAAAGAGGGCAGGTAAAGTACTGTTTAAATTTTTTGTTGTAGCTGTCCCGTGTGATAACCCCATTTTCGACATTCTTTAAAATGGAATTTGAGATCACAATAATTTATCATCTATGGCAAAAACAATGAAGCGTTCGCTTGATCTCTAGAAATGTCACGCTGACACATTACAAATTGTCTCAATAAGTATTTTAAAAGTTGTTGCTTAATGTTGTTAGCATCACACAGTCACCATCATGGCAGGGGTATTACATAGAAAATCAGTATAATTCTTGTGTACTGAGTAGTCATCCATTCCACACCTACTTGCTATGAGTGCCACCGATGGAGCAATGGCACAACGACCGGCATGCCGTCAATATTATAGAACATACAGCTCAGGCCATAAAAGCTAGAAGCTAAAATCAGCCGAATCTGATAGTGTTTGAAATAAGGCGTGTTTTTGTCAACCACTTATCATCTCATCTAATCGTCACAAAATATCAAGGATTTAACACAAAACATGTAATTCTTTGTCACCTAGCGCAGCAGTCGTTTGCGCACCTTAGTATGATATTTAGAACAGCGTTTAAAAAATTTAGCACTAAATTTGTTCACACAAAATTATGTACTTATTGCAGTCTGACGCTGTCCTTAATTTAGAACAAAATTCCGTATCGTGACAGACGTCCTTCAGATGCAACTTATGTATATTGACGTCTACAGAGGAAGATTCAAAATTCCCGGAACGGCAAGATATTCGGGAACACGTAAGGGGATTGGTAAAATTAAAATAGTAGGGTTGGAGTAGAGATTTTCCCTGGATATTCACTGGTGATCTCAAATTTGAGTTTTAGCATGACCTTGAATTGAAGGTCATGTCGGCAGTTGTCGGTGTCCTGTAAGTTTGTATTATTTTTGCGTGGAGTGCTCAAGATTGTTAATGTATAATGAGAACAGCACTAGACCCAGTGCAGAACCTTGTGGTACACCTATATCAATATTAGTTTTCACTGCATTACTGATGGACAGTAGAAACGAATTGCAATTTATTAGATATGACCTTAACTGGACTATATTTTGTCCATAGTCAAGTCTAAAAGTAAAATTGTCCGCTCTATCCGTTCCTGTGATCAAAACTGCAAGGTACCATGTAAAAAATGTGTATGTCCGTTAAACACGTTCGAAAGTCGTGCAGGGTGTTTAGTGCTGATTGGAAAGAAGTCCACTAAGGACGGAGTGGACGACTGTCAGTCTCGGAGGCGGTTTTCGAGATGGTTTACCGCGAAGTGGAATGAGAATTACCGTCGGTGAGCTCCAGGAATCTGAGCAATAATATCGCGGACGGTGATCCACCTGTTTTGAAGCACTCGGCGTCGGACCATCTCGATAACCGTCTCCGAGACTGGCAGTGGTTCCCTCGTTCTTCATCGTGGGCATCCGACCGACACTAAACTCCCTACACCACTTTCAGGCGTGTTACATGAATCGCCATAAACTTTCGTCAACTAACGATTAATATCCACGGGTGGATTTACTTTATCGTGCAAATATGGAACGAATATTGTACTTGGCGGGATCAGAAATAGGAAACTCCATATGGGACGGCTGCTGAGCCAAGAATGAGAGGCTCAGCGAAGCGCTGCCAGAGGGAACCGAGAGTGAGGGAACAGTCGCCGCAGCGATGTTGTCCGATTTCTTCTCACACCTTCCAGTGCGGCGAATCTTATTTCGGAGTTAACCCTCATAGTATCAAGGAACGCCTGATATTTCACGGTCAGTACGTTACTTTTATCATATTCATCGTGTATTACAAAACGAAACAACAAAGCAGCACAAAAGATGAGCGAGCGACTGATTGCGAGAGAACTTTCCGTATTTACCTCGTTCGTACATGATATACGGTGTGACAGGCAAGAAGTAAATTATTCATTAATATTTCTATGGAAACGGGCACACACGGAGTGCGGTGGCTCGGCAAAAAGCATCAACAAGAATTTTATATTTAATTGCCTATTATTTATTCAAATATTGGGTTTCACTGCGTAGTGCGTTCACTTGCTATATTTCTCAAACATGCGACATTGCGCTCAACATATTGTCCGCATAAAATAGGGCGGTATTTATTGCTCACAATTTGAGGAAAACGGAAAAAATAATAGTTTTACCTGATATCTTTTTTACGAGCTTGGAAATATATTACCTGATTGTTTTGAAAACAAACTTATGCCCGATGTATATAGGTCCTTCACCTGATGAACATTTTCCAGAAATGTTCAGTATTCGCCAGAAAAGATGTCATTAAAAAGGATCTGATCAACATCTAAACATTTTTTGGCATTTTCAATACACCATTTTTCCACATATTTGGACTAAGATCTTTGAAAATTACCATAAATCCAATTCTCTCTTTGTTTGATAAACGCCTCACCACACGCCTTTTCATTCTTATAGCAGCTAATTTAACAGCAAAAGTGGCATCTTTCAAGATTTGCTGAATATACTAACAAACAAACCTGTAGCACTATGCACTTGCCTATACTGCCCATTTTATTTTATTTATTTAAAGTTTTGTGAAAAATGCAAAATGTTATTGCCCTTCATATTTTTAATACATATTGCATAACGCTTAGGCCTTATACTAGCGATGCGGGTTAACGGACTTGACGCAGCTGGTGATTGCTAGTAACTTAAACATCAAGTATCACATGTAATACCACCAGTTTCCTATCTAAAATATGATAATATGCTGGTCATTTCACGTTTCCTTCAATATAGGCGGAAATGATAATATTTTTTATGGTCAGCATTGAATATCGTTCCGTACTGGTAATTCTCATTTGCAAAATTCAACAGAATAACATCAGGTGCTTCAAATTGACCAGACACGAAGCTTTTTCACTAATTCGCCGCCCTACAGAATAGATTTCGGTTACAGAATAGTTACTTCGATGCGAATATTGAAGTCACGTCAATATGTTTCGACTGAAAAATTAAATTACGAGTTCATTGGGGAAATAAGGAAACAGCAAAGCAATATTAAATAAATTTAAATAGTGATAACTCAACTTGTGGATCTTTCCCACAATAATTTCTAGCGAAAATGTTAAGGATATGTGCACTTTTTTGAAGTAAGATGTGAGCTCAGCAATGGTGGTATTGGATTTTTTTCCTAAAACAGTGACACTAATAGTGTCGTTTTAGTTAGATGTGCTGCTGTAGTTATCATATGATCCACAAACACATAAATCAGTTAAATGTAACAGGTCATTGTACGTATAGCATATGCATATGGGATTGGATTTTAAGCTCAGTCTAAATTTAAAAACCGCGGGGTAATTCATATGATGTTTTGGAGATAAATGAAAATAAAATGACATATGTTATCCTGGATTCAAAAATTTAATGTGTCAAAAATATATCGACTTCATACCCTGAGATCCGTTATACGTAACGTTTTTCTATGCCACTACTTCGCAACCGGAACTGCATTATGTCCTTTTTTTGTTGCAGGTGGTGAAAATCATCAGGCCGTCGGAAACCGCTGGACGATACATTTCCTACCGACTAGTATGCTAATTTCAAAGTCTTGTACATACATTTTTAAGTGAACGTTTATATTTTTAGGAATTGTGATGTAAAAGTTTTCCCACGATGTTTTCTAAATGTACCCATAGATAGTTTTTGCAACAGTAAATCAAATTTTTGTCATTTCTACAGACCTTTTTTATAATTTTCATTAGTCATTAGGTTATTTGAAAATGCCGCAGTCGGTTGATATACAATAATAAAGTTTTTTTTGTACCCAATAACTCTTTTTAATTGCCTGTAGATATAGTCGTTTTCGAGAAAATACTCTGATTTGGATACTGTCTCCACGATCCAGAAAAAGTCGGCCTAAAGTATGAGAGTCTTATTACGAATATTTTATCAGAATTTCTGTATTTTTAAATAGGCTGAGTCATTATGTCGGACGCATGACAGTACTAAAACAGGACTGTCTTTCTCGTGAATGGTTCATTTTATCCATCCCGAACAAGAGATTTCGGCTAAAAGATAAGGTTTTCCAAAAAACGGGCGTCAGTGAGGTTGACTCTGCACTTCCCACGCAACGCTGTCATCAGATGATAAATGATTATTATTATGAGGAAGAAAGGATCAAGTGAGCTAAACAGACCCAAACAATTGGTCCAAAGTCCCAGTCATTTGATAACGGTGCGATCTAGGTACTTCTTTCTTGCCCCTTCCGGAAGTATCGAATATCTGGCAACGGCAGTCATGCTATGGTGGGCAGCTCTACCAGTGTGGTGGTGACAGATTAGACGACAGTCTGGCCACCGAGGCAAATTCGTAGCGTACGAGAAGTGTGACCTAGACGCGACACGCCCGTTGATGTTTCTCCAAGTTTTAAGAGCAAATGTACGAGTAAATCTATGATGTATAAAATGTAAAAATTGAGTCTCTTCTATAACTCCGACCCCAATGTTTAACCCCTACAATTTTTTTTTCGAAAATGATCTCTGAAAAGTCAAAAAACGAAGTTTGAGCGATTTTAATTCCTTTCTGTTCTTGCTTGTAGCTCCGCCGCCACTGGGCTGATTTTCAAAATCTACAAAGTTTTCACCGTTGGCATAGTAGTAAACTTGTGCGAAAATTTCATCAAAATCAGCCCGGTACTTTCAAAGTTATAGACGTGCCAAATATTTTCGACGGAAATGAGTGACATGGTTTTTCGTGATGTACAAGTAATATCTCATTTTCAATTTTGTTTGGCGATTACAGTACTTCCTCGCCAGTAGGCGTGGTAAGTAAAATTCATCTTCCAGTCGTAGTTATACAGGGGGCAGAAAAGTTAGCAATTCGACATATTAATGTTCAGATTGACCATATACTTTTGGACACCTTGCACATGATCTGCACAAATAAATATAAATATGTGATAACTGGATCGATATACCAATCTATAAATACGACCAATCATCTGCACAGTGTTGTTCCATATACCTAATTCCCACTGGTTAATCATCAATAATTCGCTAATGATTCTAATTAATTATTAAATGTGCAGTAATGAGAATATCGTGTTCTGACAGTATTATAACCCTGTCACCGGGATGCAGCAATTGATTCTCAAGGCGATGAATGGATTCATTATTCATGGAACGCATAGTTGGGTCGTTGCATTGTCCGAGATGGCGGAGTTTCTCGCCCTATATGTACCGCGTGTTCTAATTCTATATTCCAGGCGTACTTATTTTAGGATTATCAAGTAATAATAAATTGAGTGATAGGGCTTGAGCTCATGCTTGAAATGAAAAATGCGATAACCTGATTGTTGAAGATAGATATTTGTTTTAATTACTTAAGATGGGTAGATTCGACTGCGATACTATAGAATAGCTGCGATCGTGACAATTTGATATTAGATTTGTCAGTGTCATTGCTACCTGACTTAGTTAATACAAGAAATATGGAGATTTTATATTTTATATTATTGCTTTAGATTATTGCTTCCAAATGACAAGTTCAAATTGGTGTCATGATAAGGCTGGAGCATTTACCGTCATAACTTCATAATCCCATTTTAAAGTGAATCCATTTTTTATTGCTAAGTGCAAATATGGAAATGTAATAGTTTTTATTAATTTGTGATGTTCTCATAATAAGATCAAGGCACTTATTTTCATCAGTTGGCGATTTTGTCACTGCGTAATTTCAGTATGCGTTTGATAGAAGAGGAAATGTAGTAGATAATGCTGGTTCATGGCGATTCCATTAAAATCATTGCAATGGTTGCTGAAGCGACGCACTGGCGAAGTGGATAATAGAGAGACTGATGGAAGTGAGTGACTTGCGTTTTCATGATGAAGACATCAGAAATTTTCCGAAAATATTACAAAATTATATATACATTTACCTGACGATATAAAGGATCTACGCATTGGGAATGAGTTCAAGAAAAAGTTAAAATAATTAATAGTAAATGTGAGGACGGCGGGGCGGTCCGACTGATCGATGACTCTTCTCTAACAGACAGTCTCGGGACTCTTTCACACCGGCGGGCCGTCGGCGATCTAGCTCTTTTCTACCGCTACACCAACGGGCTTTGCTCCTTAGAGCTCTCTTCCATGATGCCGCCGCGCGATGTGCCTGCCAGACAGACCCGCCTGACTTTGGCGTCCCATCATAACCGTGTCGAACTTCGTACATCCAGAACTGGCCGATACGGCCGCTCCTTTGTCCCGAGGGTGCCGAGATTGTGGAACAATCTACAAGAGGAAGCTTTTCCCAGTTCTACTAACCTTAGGCAGTTCAAAAATCGTATTAAGAAAATTTCGTTGGGATCATCACAACAGCCGCGGTGTTCCGGCATTTAGGCTTTTGCCTGCGCGGCTGCTTCGATATAAAAAAAATCAAATAATTCATTGATTAGTTGTATCTCTATTCATATTTCAATAATACAGTAGTAACATCTATGATCCATATGTACACGTACCGGCTTCCTATGGACCCTTACTTCATATTTATTTACTCATTTTTTGTATTGTGTTTCAAGAGTAAATAAGTATTATTTTTGAAAGATTCCTTTAATTGATACACGTTGGTTTCTATTCCTTTTTCTGGCATTATCCTTGAAAAATAGATCTAATCAATTTCTTTTGGCAATTAATAACGCAATTTTGTTCAGGTAAATAAATCTCGACGCCTCTGTCTCCTGTGCTATTATCCCCGTAGGGTAGTGGCGTCTGCATTGTACGGACCCCTTGGTCCTTTTATGCTCTCTGTAGTGTAGATTGTCTCCCGGTACAATAGCCATCGACGTGTATTCGCATTCGGGCTTTGTACCTTTAGGAAGCACCTCTTCCTAAAACAATGATTTTATCGATCAAAAGATACAATCCAGATGGAGAACAATTTTAACAGTGCCAGATTATCAGGGATAACACCGTCAGACTTCGTGATCTGATGGTACGATATTGAGCCGTATTCATAAAAGAAAAGCATATCCTCGGAAGCATAAGGTAGAAGCATAAGGTCTTGCTTCGGAGAAAAAGGTAGACGTATAAGCATATCCTTGTTTTCATATTCATAATGATTACCTTATGCTCGCGAGGATATCGTCCAAGAAGAAGTAAAAGGTTGACTGGTGTTTGTATCTTGAGCGACATGTCCTGACTTGTTCCAGCTTGTAGTTGACGTGGGAGTTCGTTCACTCAGCATCACTGACAGTTGTACTCCATGGCGATTTGGTTTCAGGGTTCCTATATGTGTACAATCAATTACACCATTTGGTGTCGGAAATTCATCAGTTCATGGTTGGTAGTTGGAAACTTGATCCATTCGTTCGACTGTGCAACTATGCTGTTCGCAACTCTATCCACAGTCCGAGATACCGTTGCTTGACTAACACCAAGTTCCTGACCAATACCTTGTTGATATCCAGGGTCACCGAGATAGCGTTCATTTTATGAATACATGAAAGTGCTCCTCCTCGAGTTTCCTCATTCTCAACTAAAAACCTGTCCGCAAGCCATTGTAAATTTGCTTCGTCAAACCGATATAATTTTTTGAAGTCACGGCCAAGTGAAGGTAACGAGGTACGAGGTATGTACGTTTTAACATCCCTAATATCCACAATTCCCGCCATCATCGTTTGACTACCTTTCATTACGAAGCTGAGTCTGCTACTGACCACACTCAGAATTTTTCAAGGATATGCTTCCTATGCCAAGTATAAGGTCAAGATTATGAATATCCTTTTACTTATGTCACTGCTTTGAAGGATATGCTCATACTCAAAAAGCAAAAGCATTTACTTCAAATTATTATAAATACCATCTGGAGGATTTCCTTCAAAATTTGCAAGTACAAGGATATCCTTTGTTTTATGAATACGGCTCATTGTATCAAAGCTCTGCATTATAAAGATTAGGTATACCAAGTTTTAAAGATCAATATATACGAAGTGGTTAGAAATACAGTAGCAATGTGCCACTTCCTATGAACCTTAGTCCTAAAATACAGGGTGTTTGCTAAATATAGAACAAGCACTCAGGGTTGATTCTCTGGTAGTGCTTATTTTCATAGCAGCATTTTGACGAAGTAATCATATAATTAGTAAAAGATACGAGGTGGGATCAAAATATGTGACTTTCCTTTTTTATCAAAATATATTTAATTATTTATCTATATCTGTGTTGTCACCTTCAAAGTTATCATCCGCGGATATCAAGGATATCAAAAACTCTTGTTTTTGCGCTTTTTCCAGTCCTCGAAGCGCTTGTGATGAGCACCTTTTTATAGCCTTGAGCTTTTCGGAAGATGCAGTTTTTACCTCCTTCATCGTTGCAAATCTCCGTCCTGTAGAGGGTCTCTCCTGTTTTGGGAACAGGAAGAAGTCACAGGAGTCCAAATCCAGTGAATCAGGCAGTTTAGCTACACAACTCAAGAAAATTCCTTAGAACGAAAAGTACGAGGTGCCGAGATCATTATCAATCATCGTTGGTGATTGGGCATTTCCTCAACACTATTTTCACTAGTTCTTCAACATTTTTATCAGATATTGGCGTGTTGAAGCATCCAGCATGAGCCTCAGCACTGACATGTTCTCTGCCTTCTTAGAAGAGCTTGTACCATTTTCTTGTACCCAGAGCTGTTGATTGCATTTTACACAAAAGCTGCTTCAATTTTGCGTCAGCCGAACATCGCCGAATATGCAAAACTCCTGCAACATTTTATGTCCGTGTATTGTAGAAGAGTGTACCAACATAAGAAGAAAAAAATTAAATTCGACTGTAGGCATTACATA